TTACTTAATTTTTTTTTTCGTTTTGCCCAATTTTCATCTTTTATTATTGTTGCTCCCCTCTTCCCCCCCCCCCCCCCCCCCCCCCCCACCCCTCCCATTATCTTCCCTGATACTGTTTTGTCTGAACTAAGCAGTACAGTACACACACAGCCTAAGGCAAGCACCTGATGTCTAGTTAAAACCAACTAAAATAACATCTATTACAAGGAGAAGTGCAGGATGCTTTAGTTTCTGCATCTGGAGAAAAGGATTTGTTATCAGCAAGAAATAATCTTCATTGACCATCAGCAAATTCAGCCATGTGACCTCTCTCTCCCTGACTGTGTGAGAGAAAATGTTAGATCATATCTTTAAAATATGCTGTTGGCATTTTCTTCACATTGCAATAAAGGATTATTTATGAGTCAGTGAAAAACATAAATTCATATTTTTCATAAAACAGAAAATTTGAATGACGCACACTTCATCTACTTCAGCGTCCCACACTTGACCACTTATAACCTTTGATACAAGTTTGTTTAGGATTTTAAATCCCCCACCAAGCTGTCAAGGTAAAAGACATTTATAAGGTTTTTATAAACAATTATGATGTTCTTTGATATGGCAGAAATGAGATACTTTCAAAAGATATGAACGATTCATGATCAGGGTTGATGAGCACTTCTGAAGTGTTTCAATATCATATATACAAGAGGTGTTTAACGTTTAAAGGTTTTCCAGTCGAAGGTGTGATAAAAATTCTGGGTCATTGAAATGCTTTTCTGATGAATTATGAATGACTGGTCTAATTAACTGCTTTAGATAAGTGCAAATCCTTCAGTTTTGAAATTAAAACACTTTGCTGATGAAAGAGAAGATACAGCCGGACTCTTGAATGGAATGATAGGGCAGAAGAACTCTTGAATCCTCTCTGTATTGAGTATCTTGACATCAAGTGTCAAGAAGATAATGATGTTTGTGACTGCCTTGCAGTGAAGGTTTACAATTGTTTTTTGATTTGCTGGAGGTTAATCTCCAGGATCTTTTTCAAGGAAATGTTAACTTAAAAAAATCAATAAAGTCATATTTTTTTCAATTTTTTTGTATTCAGTATTTTATATCTTCTAAAATTTTCAGATTCATATGCTCTTCTGACCAATTTTTTTGTATCAAGCGTGGACAGGTTTTGTTTTAAGTATCTTAAGAAAAAAATCAGGACTGCAGTTTTCTTTCATTGAAGCTAACAACACATGGTATGATAATGTGCTATATCGCCAAATGATAAGAAACATACACACCCAGATACAACAAACACTTCATCTCTGTATATTACTTAGGTTATGCACTTGAACTGTTTCTCGCCTGTCGACAGTTCAAGGGGACAAAACCTCTAACACCTGGGTACAATGTATTAACAAGTACCAGGTGTAAATTTCAGTTGTTCCTTTACACAAATATAAAGCATTTTTTGATGGTATCTTGGTAATTGTATGAGAATTTCAGCTATTGTTTGTATGTCAATGTGACTGTTAGTGATTAATAGGTAATGTTTTCAATTTCCTCCATCGCTGAAAATTACAATGTGACAAGAAAAAATATGTTGTCTCACGTTTTAATAGTATACATGTTGTATGTAGAATGTAATAGGATTACCTTCAGTACCTGTTTCATAAAGCAAATTATTTTCGGTCGTTTTCTGGAAGGACTTGATGTTATTTTTATGGAGGCACACCATTAATGTTGCCCATTTATATATGAGATTTGATTGGTTAATGTATGATATTACCCATACTGCATTGCTGTGATTCCATAATATTCCATCCTGTTTCCCCTCCTATCTACGATTATACCTTTATTTTCAATCGACATAGTTTTAAGCAGTAGATGACTTCTGGATGGCTCTCTAAGTACCACTACACATATGTTAGTGGAATATGAATGTGTAGAGGAGAGGAAGGAGGGGGTAGGGGAGATAGATCAGTTAAAGAGGGGCCAGGGTAGGGGTAAAGGGGTAGGGTAAAGGATGAGTTATTGATGCAACATTGTTATGCTGTTTTGCCACTTCCTGGAACTCTTTTCAGTTACAAAGTTTTGTCCTCTTTAATCAGAGCAAATATTTCATTGAAAGACGGATGTATACTGTTGAACAATTTTTTAATTTGTGGATACCATAAATCCATGAAATGATAAACACATAAAAGTTGATGTGGATTAAAGTACTAGTGGATTTGGTGAGCAAGATTTATCCACAAATTTAAATGCCAGCGAAAATGTATATTCCTGGAAAACCATGAAATTAGAGCCCCACAAAAATATATAACTGTACAGTAATAAATTTCTCGTGATCCTCAAAATCTGGTAGAGATTGGTTGATTTTGATAATGGCCTTTAATAGAGTTGGTTCCTTCACTACAAAGAAATAACTGCTGTCATGTACCAGATATATTCCAATATCTTTAAGATCTTCACCGAAGTCTTTATTATTGTGACTGTTAGTGGCAATCTCTCATGACAGTAACATTCTACACATGCTATAGATACAATAGAATTCTCTGACCAATCTCTGCTGCTTGATTATACTTATGCTTTGTCCTGCTTTAAGGAAAAACATTTTTAATTGAAAACAAAATCAAAAGGTCAGATAAATCCATTTGAAAGTAGAAACAATAAAAAAGAATGGCCAATTTCATTAGATTTATACCACATAGACACGCATGGAGACTGAAAAATGACAAAGCAGACATTTTTGTGAGATAAACCCTTGGGAGCATTTCTTACTAGATCCTGCATGCTCCTTCAAGTTTACCTGACTTGACCATATTAGGAATATAGCCCGCGTGACGTCCAACACACCACACGCACAATGCATTTATCACAACTTAGCCTGTATTGATAAACGTTTGCCTGACTCTTTGAAAGCAACGTCTAAACATATTATATATGGTAATGCCTTGGAGACTTCCTGTATTCCTCGTAACCATTCGAGGGGGAAAATGTTAACTGAAATTGAATTTGATCAAGACCAGGCTCAATTTTCATCTTTGAATTTTATTTGTAGATTGTCTGACAGACGCTTTAATTATCTTTGCTCCCTCGTTTATATCCTTCTGTTTCTTCTCTGACATTAACGAGTGGTTTTTATTTCGTATTTGTGCAAAATGTTTTATTCGAAAACCATTGGCAATAAAATGAAAGCCTACGTATCAGCCATACAATACCATGTCATGTATACAGCCTATTACATTTGTTGAAATGAAATTTATATGAGTTGGGTGATTGAGATTCGATTTTATCGTAATGTTTTTATTTCATCTCGTATTCCTAATTATAGGTAATAAAACATATTAATTTCACAAGTATTACAGATAGAATTGAGCTTATTTTTTATCAAAGATGGAGCGCTTTACACTGATAAACAATATTCCTCTTTTCATTATGTCTCTGGTGATTCAACAGTCTTGGAGCAACATGTGATCCTCGAGATTGAAAGTTTCATCAGAAATAAAGATCTCTTTTTTTTTTTTTTTTCTTCAAAGAGACTTCGCAAAAGTTCTTGCTTTATTTCTGTTACACACAATATGCTTCTGTGTCCCGGAGCCCCTTACAAATCTGATATTCTGCTGATGCAAACTTGATATAAGTTCACATGTCAAATGCCTCGATGGCATTTCATTGACAAGATAACTAAATTGTTGAATATGTTACAAGTTTATTACTCTTCCGGGACTGTTTGATTGGGAGTCTACTCAATCCTCCACATGCAACACCGTTATTTTGTATGCAGCACACTGCTCCATCCTTCTGGTCGTTCTCCGGGGACCATCAGATCTAATTATCTACTAATTACGAATTATTCAATGGCTATAGAAAACACCGAAGACGTAGCACATCAAGCCGAGTGCACCCTGATGAATGCTGTTGTAGAGCGGATAGGTTTGAGGGAGTTTCATCAATTGGTTTAACCAACGAGTGCTACCAATAATGGTTCAAAATGGAGTCAGGTCGCCATATAATCTGAAAGAGAATTCTCAGAATAGAGCTTGTTCAAATTGTCTGGAACACTTTCTGTGTATTTTGAGCAAATTTCAATTGACTACAATTCTTATTTATCTCGGCAAGTTTTAATGATGTCCATGTTACCACGTTTAATGTTGAATTGATTGCTTACGGTAGGAATTGGGCAGCAAAATGAGGAGGAAATTGAGAAAAATTTGTTTTCATTTGGTTGAATTCAAAGTCAAATTAAATCAACTAAAATCATCAGAAGCATTTATCAGTGAGTTAGCAGATGGTATTGTGGTTTCCCAGCACTAGCAAATAGTTGTCAGAAGGAATTCTTTAAATATTACCGGAAAGTACACACATTTTTGTGTAAGAATCAAAATTACGTTCATAGGGAATGATTGTAAGCTTTTCAGTAGTACAATACGTCAGGGTGACAGAATTTTTATATCTGTAACCTTGACTTATTGAAATGCTTTGGTGCTTTCATTGTGACAATCTACAGCAACTGTGATGCTTAGTATGCATTTGTCAAACAGGAAAAATAACTTCAGTAGAAATCATATGAAGAATCTTTAATAACAATTTAAAAAAGAAGTATTTGACTGCAAGACTTGTCTTGTAGCTTCTTACAATTTCCTGTGCTTTGATGGACTCATCTGGTCACCAGAAGGGTCACTCGGGGGGTCAGAAAGATTTTTGCAATAAGAACAGGAAAGCTAGACATTTTGTACAAGGCTTGTAGTGATGAACAGTTCATTGTTATTTGTACAGAAATCTTACAGTGAGCTTGCAGTTAAAAATTATAATTGCATGTAATTTGATATGGGTGTATTTGTCACAAAGTTTACCAAAGAACAGATGGATGTCATTTAGCAATTAGTTTTGTAGCACGGTGTGTACCCATATTTTTTGTAACAAAATCATAACTTTTCAGTTGTAAATCTATTTACTTATGGTGTAACATGACAAATAAAAAGATCTGGATTATCATCTTGAGTTTATTTTGGTCATTTCAGGTGAAGGTCATGCTAAAGATTTGTCCCTCTAATCATTACGGAGAACAGGGAAACTCCTTCCTAGCCATCGACCCCCGCAAAAAACAGGTGACCGTTTACGATCCTACTGCAGCCGGTTTCACCACTGCAGCCCATCGAAGGACTGCTACAACAACAGCTCCGAAAATGTTTGCCTTCGATGCCGTCTTTTCACCTGATGATTCACAGGTAAATAAATACATAAAAATATTGCATAATTTCAAAATAAAAGTCTTACATTTTGAAAATTGATATAATGTTTTATGTACATGTACAGTCTGACCAATAACACAATCACTTCTGAAAAGAAAACAAAACTGACAAAAACAATAAAACTGGTATGTAGCACTCTTTCACCACCTACAAAAACTAATGGAAATGGTAAAAGAGTTTGGAAATCCCTTGAAGACAAAAGCATCAAAGACCTGCCAAATCTTGTTCATTAATCATGTCTTAATGACCCTAGATTAGCGTAATTTCTGCCCTTTTATTCATTCAGGGTGGAAATTTTCTTGATTAGTGGTCTTTCTCAGGTTTTTCCTCAATGGAAAATAATAATAATTATTGCTCTTGTCCTAAGTATTGTGGACCTTCCCATCAGCCTTACCTACATCCGTTACTGTAGCCCAGATAAAAAGATGTTTGGGTTTGATGTTTGTTACGAGAAATTCTATTGATGTATTTGTTCATTTCTTTGTTCTGTTCTTTAAATAGACTGAGGTGTGTGCCAGCAGTTTAACAGAAATCATCCAGGGTGTTGTCAATGGTGCTGATGGATGTCTGTTCACCTATGGCTACTCAAAACTTGGTAAGCAGATGATCAATTTTTTTGTGAAAAAGTCTTTAAAATATGGAAGATTTCTACTTTCATATCTGATCTGCCATGAGTTAAAACATGATTTTGGACAAAAGGAATGAATGGGCTTATTACAGGACAACATTTCAGTGTGGACATTTTAATGAATGAGATAATATTGGTATTCTAATTAAAATGTATTCTTCATCAGATGTTATGATAGCTCATATTAATGTCATTGCATGCTATCAAAGTTACACTGGTTTTGTACAATTTTTTCATCAACATGAGGAAAATTCAAAACACCATCACTTTTACGGTTTCTTTTTAAGAAAAAGATATTCCCATTTGGGAAAACCATACCTCGCTTTCCTTTTGTAAGATATGTCTTGAATTACCTCCCTTTTACCAAACCTTCCTCCATCAACAATTATTAAATGTTATTGATTTGAATTAAAATGAAATTCCAAAATTCTAAAATGATAAAAGTGCGTTTGAACTTGATAAATTTCCATAATAATCTGATGTTTTATACATGTCAGTTTAATGGTCATTGAAATCATCACAGTTGATAACAAATTGTTCTGTTTGTCCCACGGCTATGTCTATTCTATGCCTTTTTTCATGAAACAGTCTTATAGAAGCATGCAAGGCAACACTTTGGTTGAAATGCTTCACACTTTGGTTGAAACACTACTTCCCGTTCGCACTCTTCAAGATCACACCCAATGTCCAGATTCTGACAGGCTTTGAATTAAGTTAACGAGTCTCCATATTAGAAATTATTAGCCTGCGTCTTGCTATTACTGCATCTCCTCCTGTAATCAAAGTTCCGCAGCAGATCTGGTTGACAAAAAAAAAATTAGAAAAAAACAAATCTGCAACGTTAAAGTACAAAATGATACTTGCATGAATACATAACAATATCATATTCAGTACTGTGAGTTCCATCACAAATTTAAACCATCAGTGCTAATGCTTTGCATGAAGAAAATCCATTTGCATTCCCATTGAGAGTTTTTTTCTAAGAAAAAATAATAAAACACATATCGTCATTATGTTGATGTGTAGAAAATTTCCCATTAATGATTAGAAAACTGCTGGTTATAATTCTATTTGTTTTTCTGGTTATTTTCTCTCAATTTTTTATCAAAAGAAAAAAATCTCAAGGTGCATCCACATCCGTGCCATTGTGCAGTAAAAATTTAGCCTTGTCAAAATCAATTAGCGTGATGAAATTTATACATTCGCCATGTTATAAAGAAACATAAAAAGCTCAATGGTTTTAGTTTCATAGCCTCTGATAAACGATGTATCATTTGTAATTCAAAATATCAAGCAAATTTTTGAACAATTTATTTGGCTATATTTTTTTTTAACAAAACTTGATATCAAAAGATTTTTTTGAACTAAGGGATGGAATGGAAATCCCAAAGAACATTGGATGTATGAGTCAGAATGAAGTTGTGAATATTTGTCATATTTGCAATTTTACAACATAAATTGATCAAAAGAAATTTCAATATCGAACTGTTCTTTATAAAAATCATTCTTTGTTACAAATTTGCTTCTTTATTTCTCAGCTTACAGAATTTTACATAAAGAAAATGATGTTAAAATATCATTACATTCAGTTTAGACAGGCTTCATGTCCCTGTTTTGTTAAAAGGTACTCGCTAAGTTTTTTCTACTGGTTTACCTCCCCTTCCTGAAATCAGAATTATGAAAAACTCAATTTCATTTATACTTTTGATGTACTATGGAAAATGGCCAGTCTACATTAAACTTGAAATATCTTTTAAAGCCATGCTACACTTAAGTTGACATAAATTATTAAGGATTTTCAGTATGAAAAAAATTGACGTTATTAAGTTATAATCAGACAATATAGAGATGCACGGCAATATAAAGAGAATACTTTGAAGAATGGCGATATAGATTGCTTACAATTAGGTTTGACAGTGTAGAGATAAGGCAATATAAAGGTTAAAGGTAGTGTAAAACATTTTGTATTGTAAAGGTATTTGACTGTAGTAATTTAATTGATATTATAAATGGGAATTATCTATATGATGAGTCAAAGAAATTTGGTTATATTTATATGAAAATTTGAATTATTTACCAACCTCAATAAATAATTACCAATAGAAACTAGATATTGACATCAACTGCAAAATAATGGATCTCTGAAGATGGACTTCTACTGAAACATATACATCACTTGTGTGTGTATATTGGTCACATATGATTGCAATTTGTGAAACAATAACTGAATTACTAGAAACTGCAGTATCACAATTCTCTCCTCTCCCTGTTGGTCTGGCTGATGAGCTTTCCCTGCTGTGATCCTACAGGGAAATAGCTGCTTTGGTCCTCACTGATAAACTCATCAGAGTACTTCTGGACAAAGGCTAAACCATTATGGTCAGGGGATGGATGTGATTTTGATGGAGGGTTTTGAAGCTTCCAAGACGTTTACTAATTGTCCATGAAAATAGTTCACTGCTAAAATGCTTCATTTCTTAGATTTCAATACACTTGGTCAAGAGAAATTGAAGCTTGCTCGTGTATGACTTATTGGGATGGTAGACTTTTTTAAAGGAAAAGTAGAGGTTGGAAATATGATCTTTTCTTGGGATGAAATAATATGTCAACCATTTGTTATTCAATATGAGCATCAAATGAAGGTAAAAAAGTTCATTGATGAACATGTGTATTCAACACCAAATGATCTATACATTTTTTTTTCATTTAAATAGTTTGTTTAAAACTTATTCAACTTTTTTCATGTTAAATTGAAATGATATTGAAATTAAAACATTTCAAAATGTTGGTACAGGTAGATCAAAATTATTTTCCTGAGAAAATATCAATATTTGTTGTACCTAAAGTTGACTATTGTGTTGAAATCTGCCTGTTCTAGATCAAACTTAAATTGGTTAGAAGCAATGTATTTAGGAACAAGAAAAGTGAGTTAATGCCTGGAAAAATATAGGCACAGGATAGATTCTTAATTTACTTTGTAACTTATTTCATAATTATAAAACGTGCTTCTGGAGTAATTAGCATCTAAATGGAAAAGGTAATGTTCATTAGCACTTTTTGCCCCACCTCCTTACTTTGGAAATGTGCAATTGTCACTTTGAAGAGAATTCTCCAGATTATTTTCTTATAACAGACTGCACGAGTTGGAATTTTCATGCAGAGTCTAGTTAGGCACATTCCACGATACGATCATGTGACAAATGTTGGACATTTTGAAAGCATACTACACAACATTTTGTGCGTTGTCATTATATAGTATCACTACTATTGATACTGTTAGCACAAAGAATTAAGGAAAACTTTTATCCTTGGCTGATTTTGACATTTACCAAGATAATAATAGCCTCCCTTGTCATTGGAAGTCTTCTGGCTTGCATCGGCTGTCAAGTTAACGCTTGGAACTCACCCTGTACAGGGGGATGCGTCACACTTGTGTTGATTGTGGCTTTACCCCATATTTTTGGTAATTAGACGTAGCTCCCATGTATTAAACTGTCAGAATAGGGACCATCTCCAAGCTTAATATTTTCCATATGCCAGTGCAACATTTTGATTTCGATATCTTGACTTGACACATATATCTCTTGTCAACGTATTGGGTGTAAAACATTAGTTCTGCCAATGATTTGAGTACAGTTTCAACATTATCAGGAGAAATCTTGTATTCTCAAATGAGAACAAATGTATTGACACAAGTTTGAATATCTCTGGCATGATATATACTGTAATTTTTCCTTAACACATGTCACTGAAAACAAGAAAAACATAATGATCATCCATCAATGCTGATGAATGTTAGGTATATTTTTAGAGTTTTGACAGAACACATTCATGTTTCTTATATGAATCACATGACTAAACCTTTTGAGGCTAAAGTTGATTGAATTTGAATATAAAATAAAAAAGTTAATTTGGATGGCTGGTTGCTTCACGTTCTGAACCCTATGGTCAACAAGTCACTCATCTCTTATGAAGTTAGATTTTATAAGAAAACTTCAGATGAGTCAGAGAATCCAATCTTCACCAAAAAGTGTGGAAATCAAATTATCCACCACAAAAACGACAGGCCGTTGTATTGAATAAATGAAATATAGTGAAGTCGATTAGTACTGTGTCTCCTCTATACACAATTGTCTACCCCTGCATATTGATATGGTGTAGCGATATTGTTTTCTAATTCAATTTGTCGCGCTCTGTTGCTTCCCATTTTGACAAGACATTTTTCGTCTCTCTTCAAAAACATGTGTCATCTAGTGGGAGATGAAAAGACTAATTATGCCATTATTGAATAGCCCCCGAAAGGGAACGATCATGTTTTTATTGTGGCAAGTTTTCCTTTAATGAAATAAATTAGCAATGTCTTAAGGCTCAGTGCGAAGATAGAATTCCGACAGAGTTAAGGAACTTAGAGGAGCACGACAATATAGCTTATTAGATGAGCTTAAGTATGGAGGAGAAGAAAACAATTAAGTGATTCGGTATAATCCAGGAATACTCATTACAATAATGAAAGGACTGTGTCCATATTGGTCATACCTCCCAAAGGGGAAATGCATTTCTGGCTTGTGTTGTTTTCGCTGGCTTTGCCAGTGCTTGCATGTTGCATGCTGAATTAAAGGTCCACAGAAATGCTCTAAGAGAGAAAATCAAGTCACCATTAAAGCAGTGAAGCGTGTCAAATGACCTATCATTGTCATATTCCAAACGAGTTTGTGCGATGGTATGCTAATGCAAGAAATTAGAGAGTTATTATATAGTAAATGGCCACAAAAACCACATGTTACTTGGGCAGTGCTGATTGGGAATGATTCACAATTAGTGATGAATTCATGTTTATGAATTCATTTCATTTAGAAATGTTCAGAATTTTCGCATGATTTTGTTTTAGAGAGAATGATGAAAGTAGTCATTATCATTTTTTTTCACTTAATTAAAGAAAAAAAAATTCAGTCATCAAAATAGAATGTTTACAATGTTCATAAATGTATTGATGTGTTCGTTTCTAAAACTTGGAAAAACATTGTAATGTTTGACACTGTTTATGTATTGGCACTGTTTTACATGGTTTGTTACTATGAACAGTCTATGTAAAAAACTTTTATATTTCCGTCTCCCTGTGATAACTTCACAACAACAAATCGTAAAGTACAGATCAACACTTGTATAATTACAGGTAAATCATATACAATGGTAGGCCAGGACCAATCTGCACAGACATTAGGCATTATCCCCTGTGCAATTGCTTGGTTGTTCCGTCTCATCAATGAACAAAAGGAAAAGACCGGAGCAAGATTTTCTGTCCGAGTTTCTGCAGTAGAAGTGACTGGAAAAGCTGAGTGCCTCAAAGATCTTCTCTCGGATGTTGCTGCAGGTAAACTGACTCTCTTCAACTCAACATTTATTTTTATTATACCAATTTTTCCACAATTTCTTCATTTGTATCACATGTGTTTGTTTATAATGTCATCATGAATCTTCTCCACAATTATCCTGAATTATTTATCATTTATCCTGAAACAAGCCAAAAGGATCAACACATAAACTTTGACCTGAAGTAAAACAGCATTTGATGTAGAATTTGTTGACCTTTTTTTTAGTTAATCAAAACCACAAAAGATGTAGGTGGGCTTATTACCAGGCATGGACTTATTGCTGGTAAATACAAGTAATGACACACTTGGCAGCGTGTTTGGGTGAGATGGGGGGTGGGGAGGGTTTCTTCTGTTAAACAATTGGCATTTCTGGTTTTCTATCTCTTTAAGCAAAATCGAAATGCTGATGAGGCAACTCTGTTGGAACATGCAACAGTTTAATGCTTTGATGACCTTGACCTAAAAATGTGAGGTAGCAGAATTGATGGAAGATTCACCACATAGGTTCACACTTTCCATCAGCCTAACACTGGCATCCTGCACTTTACAATAAGTCTGCAATATTTAGTTATGAAGTAATGGAATTAAATTGAGCTTGGCCGGTGAAATATTCATGAAGAAAGCACCTACAGTCGGTTTTCACCATCCAAAATAGATGTGGAAGACCGCAGAGTATCAGTGTGACATTTTACTGTAGTCGTGTCCTTAGAGAGAAGTGGCTGAGTCATGCTGGACATTGTTGTTGTACTTCTATGTAATTACATATAAAATAAATATACTTTATATATATATATATATATATATCCCTTGATCTGCAAGGTGTTTCAAAAAGAGGGAATTCACATCACTTTTTAGCAATCAAGTACCAAATAAATATCCCACACTGAGCAGTATTGTAGACCAGAATTACCTCTTGACAAAAAATTTCATCACACATGTCTGAATAACATCATTACGAAGCCTCGATACACGTCAATTAGTATGGGTATAGGAGCTACTGGCCCTGATTGGATGACAAGATTCATTAGCAAGGTTTAGTACCAAATTGTAATTGGTTTTACTGTAAAGTAGTTTTTTTACCTTGAAGACTTAAAATGCAAGGCAGTATGCATGGGCAATACAATTTTTTAACTGCGACAATTGCAGCCGCTTGGAATCAATATAAGAGCTGCACTCTGTGATAGTGTGGTGTACCTTTTATAGACTGCAGTCAGCCTCAGCAGCAGTCACAGAAGGGCTTGCTTACACACAGTCTGCAACCTTCATCTGTATTCAATTCTACACCATCATTACATAGAGGTTTGATTACTGAAGGCTTGGTTTTGTTAGTGTGGCCATGGTCAGAAATCCTAAGTGTCAGGCTGGACACTACAGTAGACAATAAGATAAAAGCACCAGGTCTCTGATTCAGACATTTTCAGTTTTGACGTGATCAGGGCGCTGATTCAGACTCTTTGAGATGTTTGAATTAGATGTCAGTCCCTTGATTTGCAATTTTGAAGATTGGTCTGCAATTAGACATTAAGATCTGAATATTCCAAGCCAGCTTCAGTCTTCAGTCTAAACTTGTATCCAATTCAGATGTTTGAACCTATGAGAAGCCTGAAAATTGATATCATCCGTCAAACGCTGGACTTTTTAAACTAATGCCACTTTATGAAGGGTTCCAATGAGATATACAACCGTGGCATTGAGAAAAAAAAATCCACATTTAAATCTCTGAGAAAATTAATGAAAAGGTTTTATCAACATTGTTAGTTTAGGAAAGAGGAATAAGATCATCATTACTAGCCATATTGATTGATATATTTTTAATTACTAAATGGACTAGAAAATGAACATACTGTACAATAGGCTTATAATTAGTTACTGCAAAAATAAAAGGAGAAATATTTTCATTAGGGCTTCGGCTGACTGCCAGCATACATTTTATGTGCCATAGACAATGCTAATTGATTGTATACATGGATCAGTAATTACCTCCCTTGGATGTGACGGATGTTAACACACTTTGTGTAATACTTAGACATAAGGCAGTTATTGGCAGACACTGGCGTCTCACTGAGGTACCCAAACACACAGGTACGCCAACCATGTTCCATAAACAAGACAATTCTTGGTGGTTGCAAAAAACAACAAAAACAACAAAAAATTACAATGCAGTTCTCAAATGATTCATGGCTGTCGAGGGTCTTGTTATATGTTGTTGGTTTATAAATGACGTACCTGGTAAGTCATAAAACCACAAAATCATGTTACAATTGCTTTAAGGTTGTATGATTGTCACAGAATTACAACCCAGAGAGTGTTGAATCTACAAAGCATTAGAACTCAACCTTGTGTCTTTGCCACAATTTTCCCTGTTGAAATGTTGGTCTGATTATTTGTCAGTTGTTTTGTGTTTCTAGCTATCAAAAGTTGATTTCTCACCTCAAAAGTGAAAGGGAAGTGTTTGAACAGCTGCTTAATGGTTTCCCTAGGTTATTGATCATAGTTTTTTTTAAGTGTCTTAGCAAACTACCAATTCTAGAAAAGGACATTAATGTATTTGTGACTGAGCTGAATTATTGCGCAGAATAGGATTCTAAAAAACAGACTTCCGAAACAGAAAAGTTTGGAAATTTGACACCTAAGAAATAACAGAGTATAATGTTATGAAGTGTCAAAAGTTTAAAAAAAAAAGTCAGGCCAAATGTACTTCTCAGCTAGGGACACGAACCATAAATAACTCAATACAAGTCAATGATTGTACAGATGTCCGAGGTCATTACAAAGTCTTATAGACCAGACTACCTGTTTACCAATAGCAGACCGATGGAATGCTGGGCAGTGATTGGTTACAACAGAGTGTAGTTTAGGTGTACCAGGGCCATTGCTACCCCCTGCCCTGAACATGGCGATCATCACACTGTTAATGCATGTCGAGGTACCGACAGCTAGCCCCTGCTTCTAACTGGTAAATGGGTTGAACATTGCCTCATAAACATCAACATGTGCCAGCTAGGGCTCAACTCTGGGATGTAAATTACAAGTCCAGATCCTATACCTCCCCACACTTAGGCTCTAATCTGTTCACCTTCTCAAACCCTGATCTACTCTGGTACTCACCAGTCACCACCAACACTGTGCAAAGATTTTCTCTCAGATATTTCCTGACAAGGATCTTGCTGTGGACAGGTGTATGGTTTTGTAGATCACACCGAGAATTAGTTAAGAATATGTGGTAACGTTAACTTTTGGTGTCTTGGTTTATATGGAGAACATTAAAATTATGTTGAGAATTATTTTTGTGACAACTTATGATGGATCTTCAAGTTACTAGCTGTTCTAATATTCTATGTTGCTTCCATAAATAGGATAATGCATTCAACTTGTGTATTGATTTGTTGATTATTTGCAAATAATGTTTATCTCAAGGAAATTGAAAAGAATCTTTTGTTTGTATTGTGTAATATAAATAATAGGTGTTTGTCAGGTTTCTAATTATGGTGATTTTGTCGACAGGTGTTGAATCAGGAAGTGGCACTGCCCCTGGAGTTTACCTGAGGGAGGATCCAATTTGCGGCACTCAGCTCGAGAATCAGAGCGAACTACGTGCCCCAACAGCCGAACGGGCCACATATTACCTGGACGCTGCCATTGCAGCACGAACAAAACTAGGTATGATATTGTTGAAATTTTACTTACAAATTTATCAGTTTCTTTTTAAATGTTTTTCGAAATTTAATCTCAGTGAGAAGAACTTCTATTGTTTATAAAGCTTGTGTGGAATTTGTTAAACAAAAACATCTGGTATTAAGTCATTATCAGACACACTTGAATAAGTTTTTCGTTGTCTGGTTTCACAATTTGTTTCTTGTATGAGTTTGAGATTTTTTTAGTTTTGGTTACATTGATAAGTGTCTGTATAGTGTGTGAAGTAGCAGATATGCGTGCACAAAACATGCATAGTACAACAGTGCTTGTGTGGCAGAGAAAACTGCTTAGCATGTTTGTAGGAATAGGGAGAGTCTATTAGCTAATGTTATCTGTGTAATCTCTCAAGATATGGCCCCGATATCAATATCATCGTCTGGACAGGCAATTTATCCACTATCTCCCAATAATTTATCCAGTATCTTTATGTGATAAGCAACCCATGTTTACTGTGAAGTAGCTGTAAATTTTAACAGCAGGATGTACATGTTTTAAAAGATTTTTTTTTCAAATTTCAAAGATAAAATTTATCTATCCTGTGTTTGGTTTTGATATGATTTTGTTCTGAAACATTTTTGATACCCCATTATCATGATTTGGTTATGTTTTGTCAGTTATATCTATGTGTTTTGTCACTTTTAAGATGTTGCCAAAGATAAAACATTTGACTGTATTTTCAGCATGTATACAACCATCCTTGAAATTCCAGGGGTTACAATCACTGACGATCTCTGGTGCAGAGCTTGTCAGTGATCTGAACTCCTTGAGGATAGAATACAACACCAAGTTATGATATAAATCAGTAATACATGGAAAATTTTCTGAGCATGTTAACTGTACTGAAGCTCAAAACTTTTTTAAATTCTTAACTTTTACTGAAATTAACACGCAATATCCACTAGTTGACATCTTGTATTCATCGTACCATTTTTTTTAACTCCAGATGTTCCTTTTCCCTGTCAAAGACATTGCTCATCTTTTGAGAATCTTTGATGTTAATTTGTTAGCAGATATTTGCCCTATTATATCCCTTAGTCGTAATGGAATCTGTGACGACCATTAGACATTGGATTAACGTCCTCATGCTTGGACTGAGTTGGTCGTTTTATGGTTTGGCAGAAACCTCGGCCTCTGGTTATCCTAATTCTAGGGATATTATTTCATTGTTGTAAAACTACAGACGACTCAGTCACCGTCGACTCGACCATGGAATCAAGGTTTAAAGGTCACTATGCTGCATTCCCTGAAAAAATCTTTTGTATCCTTCGAGTCAATTGTTATTGGGACCCATTTGGGAAATATAGGGGTTTTTGGATGTGACTAGAAAGCCACAGAAACATAAAAAAATGTTATTGTACAATTCTGATGGGATATGAATTATGTCTTTGATGCGGAACATAGCTCGGAGATTAAAGGACAGAAGGAGAGGGTATAGAGAGTATGACTAGACGTTACAAAGGTACTATTTAGTGTAATCCATAACAGATGCTATCTAGATGCATATAGCATCTCTTTAGCTTTATGCTTTTGTTTTCATCCATCAATTATCCATTTAGTCGGGGGAAAAAATGATGAAATTGGGGCAAATTTAAAACAATTTATGGTCGAGAAAGGCAATTTTATTCAATCTCTCCATTGGCTACAACAGGTTTCTTGAGAAGTTTCATTGTCGTCGTTGTTCAGAAGCCATTAGTATTTAAGTGGTTGTGTCCCTCAGGGAATATTCCAATGCTTACAGTAAAGAATATAAAGCCCAATGAATGATGCTTCATAACAATATTTTAAAGGCTCCTGGTATAGCAAGTCGTGTGAGCATTATTGTTTAATCATAATATAAAACTCTTAAGATGGGGAGAAGTTGGCATTACGGGAAAACATTATTGTAATGCAAAGATAAAACTTCAGTGTATCTGTTTGAACCTGAACATTATTTATATTGCTCAAAAAGTGGAGTTTGTTGTCGGGAAATCTGTTTAATGCTCTTTTCAAAAATCCTACGTAGAACTGAAATAAATGATTTGGTCTTTGTATCTTTGTGATTAAATTGTAGACAACATTTTTCTTTCACTTACTTGGAGCCTTTGTCTGTAGATTTTACAGATAATATGGAGTCTTTTCCAAAAACATAATTGTGTAGTCAGTATTGTGGATCATAGGATTTTGGTGTTTTGTGCCATTACAGACGAGGAAGAAAGCCGGTCGTCACACCTCCTGTTTACCTTACATGTATATCAGTACCGGATAGAAAAAGCTAACCAAGCTGGTCTGCCTGGAGGTAAGTACTTATATTTGTTATTGGGCAGGAGCTTAGGAAAAGAGGGGGTAGGGGGAGGGGGGAGGTTAATCTGTTTTGTTGACATTTCATCCAAGTTATATTGCAATATAGGAACTAAAGATTGATCAATTGTGCAACTATGTAGACTAAAGCAAAGAAGAGTTATCAAATGTGTAGTATCAGCAGGAAAGAATATTTTACCATTTAGATAGAAGTAGACTACCGCAGAACTCGGTAGTGGATGTGGTAGGATGCTTTTAAAAAAAGAGTAAGGACAAACTTTCGATTTTGGTGTATAGTTTCTTAGAAAAGTATTTATAAGGCTGTGGTTGATTGTACGGTGATAAAAACAGTGTTTATCGTACACTTGATACTTGTTGCTTTCACATGACAAATGCAGTAATTATACAGAGTTCCAGTGCACGATAGATCGACAAATGATTTCTATTGAGAGTTACATCAACACCACTATATCAAGTTTTGAGGCTGAGACAATAGCAATCGCTAGTGTCTCTTATACAGAGCAGATCGTGGCCGATTAATCTGTCAGCAAGGTGGTAATTCAAGTGTAAATAGGGAGAAAGGACAACCACAGAAATTTCTATCACTCAAGTTGTGCAAGTTCATTTGGACTTTGCTATTAGAGTGTTACAAGCAGAAACAGGGGTGGGGGCAAAGCAATGGAATTGTACGCTAAAAAGCACTTTAGAATAATGTTACAATGGCAACGATTGCGGTGTGACAACACACAATCCGACACTAATATTGCTCCCATCAAACAAGATTTTCTGGCCTGTCTATAAGCGGGAAATGTGGAATTGGGTGTTTAATCACAGCACTTGTGTAAGTTTCAATGACCCTTCGTCACTTGCACTCCCAGGACTCAAAACGTTTGTAGAGATGCATTTGACGACAAACAATATTCCCCAGAGACGAGGAGTAAATCAAATTTCACTTTTCCAATGCCAATCACGGAACAGTTTCATCAACTGACAAATTGAATTTTGAAAACTTGAATTGACAGTAAATTAACCTGTTGGTAGCAGAACACTGCCCCCTACACTAGTTCTATATTAGACTGGGAGTCAACAGGTTGTTTCATGGGCTGAGGCTGCATAGGCATGCAAGGGTCTGAAGGGGGGAGGTTCCCTATGGGGAAAACACAATATGACCAATGGTGTCTGGGGGCTAGGACCACAAAAGCAACCGACAGACACACTAGTGATGTTTAGTGATGTCTCCTATATTCTGTCTGATACTGCTGGATTGATTTGCTATGGAAATGAACGTGTTATTCTGTTTACAGTCAAATTAGAACTCCAAGCAGTAAGAAACACAATAGTTTGGATCAATAAGACTTAACACTGGGGCTGATTTCTGATAGCGATCACAAGTCTGGAGTTTGTTGGCAGAGGAAAAAAGAATGTTGTTTGTTCCTTAGAAGTGATGAAAATTTGGCAATCTATTTTCCACTATGTCTTTGATAGCTCACACTTGAATTTCTGTTGACTTGCCCCACGAGTCAGATTCTGTAGTCATTTTAGCACAAATGACTTGATCACTTTGAAGACAAGGTGAAAGGTACAGGATTCTGTGAGTTTGGCACTTAGGCAAGAGATAGGCAAAAAGGAAAATTAAGGTCTCCTTCAGGATTTTACAAAGTGGAACATGTTTTCAAAAGTGAGAGAGTCTACTAGCTTCACTTGCACATGACTCGTTATTTGGCCCCAAATAAACTTTTAGAAGATCAATATTATTGTTTGAAAAGAATTCATGAGTCATAGAAAAAATGTTTAGCAACATGTGCATGACACACAAATAAACGTGCATTGCATGTGCAGAGAACCTTTCATCAAATATAACAGGAAGGGGAGGGACCATTATGATAGGGGGTTCCGTTTGGTGAGGAATCTCACTCTCTTGTGCAAAGGAAGGCTGACATTCTGTGCCTTGAGTCTGTCGAGAATATGCCATACCTTTGGGTTATAATACATATTGGTTTGCATTAGCATGTGCAGTAAAGCATTACTATGGGCGTAAACTCGAAAGGCAATGTCTTAGAACTGTTCTGGCTTAGCTCTTATCAGGTTCTAGATCAGATTGCAAATTTAGGTAAAGTTAGAAATTCAAAACTTGTGTTTAGAAGGAAAAAAATTTAAATGACCAGGTATGTTGAAAGTTTTAAGATTTGTCTTGAAATAAGATGCAAACCTCGTCCCATTTTTTGAAGGAATTTTAGTAATTTTATCTTGATCTTGTCATTGGTGATTGCTTTATGTCACAAAAACAACTCTTTTTTTAATTATCCAAAAAACCTATTTTGCAGAAGATAGCAACTGAGGCAGGTTGTGACTCACTTAAAGAAATTAGATTGTACAAATAAAAAAATGGAGTCTAAAGAATTAAGAAAGGGGTTATTTTTTAAAGAGAGTGAATGATTGAATTAATTTGGTTATTTCGTAGGTGCAAACAACATACAACATCATAGAAATTCATTGATAGACTGGAGCAACTTTCTATACATCAAAATTTTCCTGTTTGAAAATCTTAATTAATCTTCTGTTCAGTTCACAGGAAAAAAATAGATATTTGAGATGTGTTTAATGAATGATATTTAATTTGTTTTAATTGGTCCCACTCAGAATCAGGAATCATGATCTCTTCTCTAAAAAAATTTTCTTCAAGAAAACGATACATTTTAGAAATTACCATGTTCAAGATGAAACAATTACCATGTTCAAGGTGAAAGAATGACAATGTTCAAGGTGAATAAAAGACAGTTGTCAAGGTGAATTTTTTTTAAAAATGAACAAGATGGAAAATGAAACAATGGGAAATATTTCAGAGTTTTACTCAAAGATCTTATAAGTGTATGAACAGGAAAAACTTCTATGTATCATGAAAATATTCATTTCACAATATTTCTGTTGACTCAAGTGGCACACTCGAGCTGAAGTTTAAATGATAGTAAGTGAGATCAAGAGAATGTTTATGGCTGCTTGTAAAGAGAATATAATGCTTAAACAGCCATACAGAGTGAGGGTATCGAGATCTAGGCTGCTGTGTTGATTAATCCAGCCTTCCTTGGTCTGATGAAGTAATCAACGACTCTGTACGTAGCACATAATATCAATCTGGATGGTAATAGTCTACGTAGCCATCAAAACAAATCTACTTTATTTATTTGTACACATTTCACAGCCATAACAACCCCATGATGTCGGGTGCGCAACAGAATTCATCATTTTTTTCTCATTATTTCTTACCTATGGTGTCGGATCGGCATCGTAATTGTCAACGCGCAGTTCTAGAACAAGTTACTTGAACTAATGTTTTCAAGCTGTACACAGGGCAGTCATAATCCGTTCTATGACTGAAATGTAAGTGTGTTTCATTAGAGTGTAATTTGTGGGTGTCAAGTGTATATATGCCAATACTGTGGTGAAAACAGTCTACACGCTAATGAAAAGTACGAGTTAGCATAAATTTACTAAACGACAGTTACAGTTTTGAATCTTAATGTATTACTCATCTCACGTATTATTTCTTTATTATGTGTTTAAACGATAAACATCTGTTTCAGTTTACTGAAATTAAGGGTGTATCTTCCTCGAAATTGTGAGATATATATCATTTTGATTCTGTTATGATATTATCATGTGGAAATCAGAAATTGTCATTTTTGATAGGAAAAGCTTGAATCATCTGACTAAAGCACTCTGTTTTAGTCACACCCCTAAAACCTCAATCTGTATATTGTGTTCCCATAAAGAACACATCAACAGTTTTGTGATAAAACTGGTATTTATATACTGTAACAAAATTACAAAAAATTTGGACAAGATATGTATGTTTGTATTTCATTTATTTATTCATGTTGTGAAATGTTTCTCAGTTGTTATTTTTATTTTTCCAACAGTTGCTGGTGGACGGAGCCGTTTGCACCTGATTGACCTTGGAAGTTCCTCAAAATCTAAAGATCCTGGAAATGTCTCCCTCAGTCTTTCAGCTCTCGGCAATGTCATCATGGCCTTACTCAATGGTCAACGACACGTACCTCACAGGTGAGCCATAGAAAACGTTTACATTGACCAAAATCATCTCACAGGTAAACTATATCCAACATTGTCTCCTGTGAAATACGACAGAGTTGTGTCCCTTAAGGTATTCTCTGTAGAAGTGCATTGAAAATTACCTTCAATTATAATTCATGCTAAATTGAAGAAAGTTAAGATTATCTTCATTAATAAATGACATCTGCCAGTGTACTCTTCAGAATTGGAGATTGGAGATTTCACACTAAGGTAGTATATATGCCCCATAATACGTCTTCTTTATCCTGTTCATAATGGACCATAGCAGTAGAAATATTTTGGAAGACATGAAACTAAACAGAGTAATAAATTTTAAAATCTGCCTTTTTTAAAGATGTTTAAAATTGAAAAAGGAGTGACGCTAGAAGTTTCTTTTTTTTTTGGTTTTCGTCAAATTTGACTTCAACCATATGTGAATATCTAACAGTGGTAGGGATTGTTCCTAATGACTGAAACAGATCATCAACACAACTATCAGCTGGCCATCAACTGTTATAAATACATATTACAGCTCTTTCCCACACTTCATTTTCAAAATTCAAAACCCAAATGAGATGATTTATGGTTCTGAACTTAAAAAAACTGTCATGTATATGTATACAGTTACTCCACACACTGAAGTCACAAAATATATATGCATGACATTCGACATGAAGGTGATGTGGTGAATTTGGCGTTCTGTTTCTGATTTGTGAAGCCCCACAGAGGTAATTGACCTTATTGCACCAGGGTGTTACATGTCCTTGTAAATAAAAAACTCGTACATCACAACCCATTACTGTAATCCGATAATGTCCGAAAATTTCTCATATAACAAATTGACGGCATTTTTTATGGTTATGGTATTGCAAATGGTCGTTAGAAAGAACATCCCTTCAATTGAAACTTGTAGAATCGCAAACATTGCGACCAGGGGAAGAGCACGCAGTTTCCACAAAAATGGATAGAAATGTGTTTATTTGTGGATTGCAAAGCAAATGGCAGCAAGTTTATCTAGATGATATTGTGAAATATTTATATCCACATTGAAGTTGCTTTGGCCCCTATACTCATTGTGTATTGGTGTGAGGTTTTCTTGCCAACCATGATGTTACTACAGAATATTGGCACCGTCCATCAAATTGACATGTTTTATTGATGAAATGGACAAACATCAAGCCTCCAGTCCATGGATTGCTTAATTCCTTTTCCCTGGAAATTCCATATTTCATAACAGAATACATACACAGTATACAGATAAATGGTTGTTGTATAAATTTCTATCCAGATTGATATTTTGATGAATATGTAAAGTTTCTAACACTGTAATCTATAAATGTCTTTATCAATTTTGATTTATTTTTTCCTTTTCAAAATAATGTATTTATTTTGTAATTTAAAAAGTACTTTTATCCTAGATTTAATCCTCTTTGCATGACCCCTAAGTCAAGATATTCTAGAAAGCGTTTCTTGAGAGCACTATTAGATTCTCTGATCAAACACACACTAAACTAAATCAAATTCAATTGATGATATATTAATTTGATTATGTAAAATGTTTTTTACAATTTTCTCTTCTTTATTTTTTCTCTGCGTTTACAAATTCCTTTCAAATTTATATTTCATCCGTGCTTGCTACTTGGAGAAACCATGATTCCACCATTTGAAAATTGGCCAACTTAACCAAAGATCTAAATAAAACATTTCATTCAAAATATTTTTTATGCTTCTCAAGTACATTGATTTCAATTCTTTGAAATTATGAAAGAAAACAAAATGAAGTTGTAAAATCTCAAGTTTTTAGCAAATAATGAAATTTTCAAAATATAGATAAACCTGACACCTGATTAAGCTAACAAAGCTTTAAAGAAATGTTCTGGTGATGGTAATGTTTCATAATACCAGAACATCTAGCGACCTCCCTAATAAAGGCAACATATGGTTTTGATATAGGCGGTAAGATTTCAACTGCCTACCAAAATTATAATTTTAAGATTTGATTAAGAAAGTTGCCTTAATCCATTCCACAAATTTAAAAAGGAAATGAAATTTTCTTACCAAAGTAATGAAGATTTAGTTTGATTAAAACAGCACAACCACTAGCAATACAATATTGTTCCATGTATTTTGTGTACAGAATTGTTTCATTAAAGCTCTTACACCCATCTTAATGTTTGGAATAATCCAAAACATGTGCCCAGGAAAATCCATTATGAAGTTACGGGTCATTGACTTTTTCTTGTCTTTTATTTGATTTCTTCATATTAATGCAGATCATAAGAATGTTGTCATTCAGTTCTTCTTTTAGAAATTCAAATATGTAGATTTCTTTTTTTGACATATTGCTGATTTTATAGCTGTAGGTTGTTTTTATTTAAATTTTTGTTTTAAATTTTCAACTACTGGTAGTTGTCAAAGGAATTTCTCCAGTTTGTTTAGTAAATATTTTTGTGATAAACTTTAAATGTTAAGATTTCTGTATTTTCTCAAGTTGGTATATGAAACATAAAACATGAATACATATATGGATATTATATAATTATGGTCAACTCAAATATTCCGAAAAACTTACAGTAAGCTTACATATCTCAACATCGTTTATTGGAAATGCAATGAAGCATGAAAATTGTCCTGCTGGACAATCTTTCATCACAGAAAATATGATTTAAAGATTTGTGATTCCACAGGGAAAAAATGCAGAGATTGTATCATAGTCGGGCAAGCTAAATACATAACGACAATTTTATTGGATTCGGAATGAAGAATGACGTGCAGAAAAATAAAAATTGGTTTGACTCATAAACCATGAAGTTTATGCTCTACGCTGCCAAAAAAAGTCACTGCCATGATTGTTCATCATATCATCTGTGCTTGGTGACGAATGGGTTTGCGTATAGCTAGATGTGGGGAACTTGATAATATGGGGCTTTCTCCGAAATCAACAACTGTTATTTGTGGATAGAGGAGAACTTTGAGTCATAAATCTTAAACATATTAATTATCAATTAGAGAACATGTACAGCTTTCTGACAGGGCCGGTCAATAAATCGGAGATGAATGTTCTCCTGTTGCTCCAATGAACCTCCATATCTGGAGAGTTCTCATTCATCAACACTGTTTTATTAGGAGACAAATTTGTAACGGAATAAGAGCTTGCAATCTCAAGTTTGTTGAGGACAACGATAAGTCAGTTACTTCTAACAGCTCGGAAACAATTCAAGTACACTAAAAGAAAAATCAATAAAATTGGTATTTTTTTCCTTAAGAAGCAGAAGACTTTAACGATTCTGTTTTATTCTATCACGGATGCTATTGATAGGTTTAGATGTGTTAAAATAATCTGAGAACTTGTGCTTCATGAAAATGTTTTTACTTGGTGTTAAATTGAGCACCTTGATACAAAACTTGTTACAAATAAAACCATTAAGTGTAGAAAAGATATGATTTAATATTCCACTGCGTATAATTAAAAACAGATGTTTGTCTCTACATATAATTATTGTGTAAAATAAAAATTGAGCCCATCAGAACCATGGAGGGAAAGCTCAATCATATAAATACCACTTATATGTTTTAGCAAATATTATCAGACATTTACGACTAAAACAACCTGATGCGCTCGACTTCGTGAGTGAATGTATTGATGGAAAGCGATTTAGATTTCTATGTCAAATAAGTTACATGTTGGTCTATGCGGTTGTGCCAAAATAGCTGTGAACATCAAATGGGTGAGTTATGTAGTGTTAATGTAGAGAGTATCCACTTGATGGTGCTCGCAGAAGGTCTGAATCAAAGCTTGGGTTGTAATCGGGGCTCCTGAAAATGGGAAAGGAAGTAGGACCTGGAATCTCGTAATATTTCCCTTTTAATTTGGACCCTAATTACATCTGCGTGGATGAGAAAGTTGAGAGTTAATCTGATACAGATGAGTGGCAAGATGTTCATTTCGCCTGTTGCTGGGCTAGGTATCGGCAGGGCCCGGTTCCCAGACAAGCTCCACTCACTCTGTGAGTCCCCCTCATGGGTTCTTATATACAGAGTTTGGTGTTGGAGCAGTGCAGTGTGTAAAGTGGAGGCATCAAATGAAAGACGGGACTCCATTAAGAAAAAGGTGTTCCCATGATGCTAAGCCTAATTCTAATTTCCGTAAGCTTTTTTTTTCAAACTTTTTTGTCATGATTTGTTTAATTACTATGGATGAAAGAATTTGCTGAAACTGTGTTATATAATTTCTATCTATTTTTCAGGGATAGTAAAGTTGCCCAGCTTTTGAGGGACTCTCTGGGAAATATTTCCTGTAGAACATGCATGATTGCCCACGTGTCATCTGCTGTACCACACTATAACGAGACTCTTCAAGTGATACAGCTGGCCGCTAAGATACACAGGATGAGGAGACGAAAGACAAAGGTAAGGCTTTAAGTCTTAAGCCTTCTTCCTAAAACATAATGAAAAAACAAGATTTCTGTCGTAGCTATTTCCTATTCTAAAAATTCAAAAGGTGGCCAGAAAACTTTAAAATAAAGGTGAAACAATATTTCTGTTGAATGTTTCTAATTATACGATGGCATAATGTTCATTGTGTTTTAATGAAATTAATGATGTTTTATTTTCTGTCTTTTACAGTTTTCTAGCACCAGTTCAGATGACAGTTCAACAGATGATGGAAGATTGCGGAGACCATTTCGAGGATTTCGGATGGGAACACTTCGTGAGGATATTTTATATACATCTTCACATTCAGACCCGGACTATACCTCAAGTAGTGAACAGTCTTGTGATACTGTTATATATGTAGGTGCAAATGGACAGTCACTTAGTGACCGGGAGCTAACAGATCATGAGGGACCACCCAGATCAGTTCCTAGAACAAACCCTCGGTTGCCAAGGCGACCAGGAGGATCAAGATCATCAGGTGATGAGGGGTCAAATTCTGACAGTGGGAGGAGCCATCACTCTGATTTTCGCATTAGAAAGCCAAACATGGGGACAAGTATAGAAGGTGCTAATCTTGCTAGGATGCCTTCTCGGATGTCAACACCAGTCAGGGAATTGTCAGCGAGTGCTAGTGAGCATGCTCAATCACCGCCTATGTCTCCAAGTGTTGGAGGGGTGCAACTACCTCGAAAAGCTAACGTGAGGACCAAATTGGTCCAGAAGACCGAAGAAGGTTCAGGTAGTGCTAATAAAGTGGACAAGATAACCTTGTCAACAAGAACTGCAGCCATGAATACTAAAATGGCCAGTGGTAGTGAACAATCCTTTCGATCGGAACAATGGGTAGATGGCCCAGGAGTGGCTATCTATCCAGAAACACCGAAAACAGGGGAACAGTGGGTTGACGGGCCACAGGCTTTCGTCTTGAAACAAGAACAAAACAAAAACAAACATCTTTACAACCCGAAAATGGATGCCGAAGAACAATGGGTTGATGGACCCAGAGAAATGATGCAAGATTCTGACCACAAGGAAGGACGGAAATCATCAGGACATGGGAGATCTGATCGTAAAACACGTGAACATTCTCGAGAGCATTCACGGGAACACTCCCTGGAGCCAAAAGGATCATCACCAAGCCATGGTCCTAAGTCTGGGGTCAAGGCCAAATATCCAGCAAACTGTGAGTTGAAAGAGCGCCCCGACAGCATGGCTAGTGCTGACAGTGCGGCATCTGTGACAGCTCAAGCAGCAGATTCAAGGCCAACCAGCATGCACAGCTCTGGTGCAGCAATAGATACTGAGCAATTAAAGGTCGACGAATCTGGTCAGCCAATCAAGCCATTTGTTAGAGACTGGGTAGAAAAACATAGTGCTTTGAAGGCGGAGGGGAAAATGGAAGATGTTAGTATAGGCTTAATTGTAGATTCTGAAAATCAAGTCATTGGCAATTTGGAAACATCAGCTACTGGAACATACAAAAGGCCTAAACCTGAAGCACGGAAAAAGATACGTTCTTCAACACCAAAACAATCCCCACATCACTCTCCACGAAATTCACCTGCTATTGGTAGAAAAGGTACGAAAACTTCTAATGAGTCAACATCAAAATTACAAAAGTCTCAATTACCGGGAAATGCTAATCCAACACATCGTGTTACCGAGTGGCTCCGTTCAGTTTCCATGGAACAGGAAATGGAGGTGGAATCACAGGGACATTGTAAAAACAAGAAGTCATCTGACTGCACACATGATACATCTATGGACGTATCATCCTGTAGCAGTCTTCAAGATACAACTATGGAGTCACAGGATTTACATAACCAGTCGGGATGTAGTGGGGATGGACAGCCAGATGAAATGGCAGAGTGCAATATTGCGGACATCAGTTTCGACAGCAGTGTGGATACTACAGAGTTCAGTAATGTACTGCTGTCAAATCGAGAGTCCATGTACGAAATTCAAATGGATGAACAGTTGGAACGAAGTGCTGAAAAAAGCACAAGTGATGTGCCAGATGATGAAACCTTCAGTAGTGTGTCGTGCAATAAAGACAATGAATTAACCGAGGGGGAAGATGGTGACGAGGCTATGGAGGATGAACCACTTCTCCTTCGAGCTGATGGAATGCCTCATTCCTCTACCATAGAAAGTATAAAAACTCTCCTAGCAGAGCCAGTTATTTCTAACGAACAGCTTGTGTGTGAGAAACTGTGCAGTTTCGAGTGTACACCATCAGACTTAAGGGATGAAGATATCCCATGTGGCAGTATGAATCAGCCTCTTCTTAGAAAACCGGATGGTGCATCAAATCCAAATTTAATCAATGAACTCAATTTCGAACGAAAAATGGATGGTGATTTTGTGCGAGGGGACTACATCATCAATACTGTCCATACAATTAGTGCTAGTCAACCAAGAATGGATATGGATGCCAAAACTATGAAAAACGCTACCTCAAAATATGCAAGTTTGCCGAAACACAGTGAGGCCCTTACAAAAGCTCTTGAGGGTTTAGGCAAAGAGTTATGTGATTCAAAGCGATGTACAAAGTCTAAACCACCCCTTCCATCAAAACCTTCATCAAAGTCATCAATGCATAGCCCCAGTCCGTCTCGCCAAAGCCCAACAAAATCTGGTGGCTTAAAGGAGAAGGATTTATCGACAAGTCCAAAGTCTGTTAGCTCAACTTCAAGTAAAAACTCTTCCATTCCCTTGAGTGGTAGTGGTAGAGGTCGCAGTGACAAGGACAAATCTGTGCGGCTACAGTCATCGTCCTCGTCACAACGATCATCATCTGTACCAGTTACTGGTAGCCCCTCAAGCACATCAACCATTCGGAGTACTTCGTCTAAATCATCAAAGTCACAATCACCGCTCAGTAGTCGCCTACCAATTTTCTCCTCCTGCAAAAACACCAGGAAGGGGAGCAAAGAAAACAAGAGTAGTAGTAAGTTAGGCAATGGTAGGATTTCCGAACTCAATCGTAGCTCGAGTCGAGGGACAGACTCAGACAGTGGTAATGATAGTGGAATAGTGACCAACGAAAAGAAACTCTTGTCACCATATAGCACAGTGACCAAACCACGGACACCAAGTCACTCCAGCAGTGGACATGGCAGTGACAACAGTAGTACTGTCAGTGCCGAGCTCAGGTCACAACTTGGGTGTAAGTCGGATAAAATTCATGGAGGAACAAGCAGTGGATATGAGAGTATGTTACGGGACAGTGAAGCAACAGCGTCTTCATCAGCTCATGAGGACAGCAACAGCGAATCCTCAAACGAGAAAAAGAAAGGTTCAAGACGGAAACGTCCAAGTAAGTACTAATGAGTGGAAACTTCATTTTGCGAGATAAAATTGGTTTTTCTTCCCCACCCCCTCCCCAGTGTTTTTAAAATATTCAGAAATTTTACTTGAATTGTTGTTTTTTATTAAATTTAGTTTTAAATTCTCACCCATTAATAGATTTGCCAGTCGTGTGTTTTGGTGGAGATAACATTTCATGATAAAGTATATTAAACCAGATTACCAGACAATAAAAATATTTGGATTTGAACCAGGACACCCACAAAATACTGCATTGTTTACAACAGTTTTGAGATATCCCATATATCATGCTCGTGTTTTCAAAGTGTTATACTCAGAATTTAAACTTTATATTAGCTTGGGAACATTGTACAAGGGTTGGTGTCTGGAACTCATCAACGTTTAATAACTGTATGATATCAATGTGAGACTTTTGTGAAGGGATTGGGTTACCTAATGTCAGGAGAAACTACTAGTGCAGAAATAATTAGATTTCTCAAAGGTATCCTCCGATTTAATTCGGGGAGAAGAATTTGTTACTGGTGCAAACACAGGTTGAATTACACAATAAATTCCTTGCTGCTCTACGTTCAGTCTTTATGAAATTATTTGATTAGCTTTTTGGCTGAAACCTAGCCAACGGTAAAACGACTTTTGATAACCAAATTGGTTGCTGCTGGGAAAACAAGGGGGCAAAAGAGCTCAAACAAATTTGGCTCCTACATTGAATTTATGATATTTTAACTTGTAGTAGTAGAAATGGTTGTAATATGTAGTAGAAGTTGTAGTAAATTTGTCAATTAAGATTTCATCCTCTGTTTAAATTCCTGGATAAATTCACATACAAATTAGTGTAGCATTCATTATATTGCCCCATTCCCAGTGCGAAGTAGGGAGTAATATTTTGCTTGTTTGGTGATTAAAGCTTAATGCCTGTTGCTCTCCATTATATATATATATTTATTCAAAATTGTGAACACTTTTGATATTGGGAAAGAGGAATCCAAAATGGGTAAAAAAAACCATAAATAAACACTTCTTCATTAAATCAAGTCATTAACGAATTTAGAGCCAAAAAACTGACATGAAGCTGTTTTAATAACTTCAAATTCACAATGGGATAGTCCTTAATTCTGCAAGTCATTAAATGCTGAGAGAGAGAAATAGTTTGTGTTCTTCCTGTTTAGCTTGAAAAACAGCTGTTTGTTAAATGAGAAAAAAACTAATCAGAAACAATTCTGCATAAATATTTGATTTCGGATCGTGACATAGATGAACATCTACCAATCATAAAAATACATTATTGCTCCTAAAATTGTATGCTTTAACGACTGTTTTTATTAAGTTTATTCAAACGAGTTAAAATAAATGGAATCTAGTCAAGTGATTTAATGAAATTCTATTAGGTATGTATGGAAAGATTAACCAAGGAAAATTGAATTACAGTTAGATGTAGGTTAATGACAAAACATAATAGAGAAATAAAACAATTTTTCAGGTTCACGTAGGAGTCGCTCCGTTCCTGCTAGGACGTCAGAAAGTCCTGAAAACCGGAAGCAGAGTCCATCTGGAACATTAAAGACAAGTCCTTCTCCAAAGGCATGGGTTGACACGAGGCAAATACAGAAGATCAAGGAAGAACCATTTGAAATCAAACACTATGATGTTGGTGATGTTCAAAGGCTAGGGAGACGCAGGGCCGAAGATGAGGTAAGGTTTTCAATGCTGAATGATTTTTCAAGATCAGTTAAGAATAAAGTGTAGATGTTCAGGAAAAATTTATTTAAAATTTATGAATTTTTGTTGTATTTTTCCATTATTGCCTTATGGATACTTGAGCATATGTACTTAAGAAATATTCACTAATAAAATCATTATTGTGAAACATACTACAAAAGATTCCGTTATATTCCACAGGGAAAAGAAATGGAACAGAGAAAAGAAAAACTGAAGGAAATTCTCTCTAGGCAAGGCCAGCTAAAGCCAGATAGCCCTGATATGAAAGACCAGATATTAATGGAACAACATGGATGGAAATTTGACTGTAAATTCCTAATGTGTTTTTCATGTCGATCCAAGTCAAAGAAAACGGATGTGTAAATGTTGTGCTTTGTTTTTCCAACGTGCCGCGGAAATTGTCATGGTGATCACTAGAGGGTGCCAATTCAGTGACGTTGGACATGACTAGATAGTATAAACAGTTTCGTTAACATCGTTGTGAACTGAAGACACTTAGTGAGGTTGACGAGAAGTAGGGTTGATTTATACTATCTAATCTCGATATTTACAGTACTATACTAGTAACTATGCCATGTTGGTTTCAACTGCTGACTCAACAAACAAAAAATTGCAATAACATAAAAAGATGCAAATCAAAATCTGTGAAATGAATTTCATTTTTTCATTGTATACTAACATCAAAATCATGCAAGCACATTCATTTCTTTATATTTTGCAAAAGATTTCTTCATTTGGAGATGGACAATATCCGTACTATGTAAAATTTTGTAATGAGTTTGTATATTTTTTATATATTTTGAATTTGCATATGTCATTTTTCTGTGAATCATTTGAATATTAATTTGTGTTATTTTAAGAGGTGCTTTGCCAAGAAGGAAACAGTACCTAGACAAGGCGTTTGTGTCTTACCAAAAAACTCTCACTGCCAAACAGATTATTTCATGGACATTTTTACTTTGTATATGTGCTATGTGTGGATGTCCAAATCTGCCTTAAATTTAATCATTCTTTAACAAGTAATGTAATGATTTATTTTTTACAGGAATACCCCAGGTCTTGTATTCATATTGTTACTTTATTAACATCAGTTTCGGTTTTTTTCTTTTTTTAGTATTGTGATAGTAATTGTCAAACGATTCAAGTCTTACATCTGTATTACATACTTTTTTTCAAACATGATTTAGGACAAGAGAAAAATGTTAAAAACTTTTAGCAGGTATGACCTAATAAATTTCTACTGCCAGCTTATGGTCGCAATATGCAATTAACGACAGGTGTAAGATACTTAAAGCATTGCAGAATTCTTTATACAGTTCCATTACTGCAAAATACAAGAACATTAATTCTGGTTTAATAGATAGCATATGTTTCTTTATGCATAGGCACAGACTAAAATCAGGAAAACCCACAATATTTGCATTAATACACACTGGTATATAGAGCGTTATAAAAGCCATCAGCTTAGACGTTTGGTTTGGTGTATAAACTATTATTATTATAAGGTAGATTTTTACGAAGTGTATATTATTGAGACCACTGAGTACCCTGTACAATGCTTGTGTATTATTTATTTGTACATTTTTCTCTCCTCCAAGACCAAATAGAATTATTATGTTAAATAGATCATCAATGTCAAAATAGACAAAATATATTTGTAATATTTATACAAAGAGTTTTGTTGTTTGTTATCCACAATGTCTGCTTTACCATACTTATCCTTCAATAAGTCTGGGTAACTGACACATAAACTCAGTGTACGGAGATCAGCTTATTACAGAACCATGAGATGAAATAGAATTTGGTTATAATTTTAATGACCAGCATTCAATATGATGTGGACTTATTATTGTGCTTGGGCTTATTGCCAGATAAAATACAGTATAAAGTGTTTCAATGCAGGCAAAACTGTTGTCCTCAACACAATAAAACATTTATCATTTATATTCCAATTTCTAAGACTTGGTTTAAATTTGGAAAAAGGTAAAATGAATGATTCAAAGACATCTTGAAAAAGACATTTTAAATGAAGCTGTCTCCCTTAAACATGGGACAGATTTCAAATACCAATTTTTATTTTTCTCTGTTTCAAAATAGATATCATATATTTCAAATCTTGTTATTTCATAACATTTCCAAAACAGAAACAGTTCCTTTTCCCTTATTATTATTTAAATAATACTTTTCCTGCAGAAATGAAAGTGAATGTTTTATGTAATTCTGTTTTTGGGGTTTTTTTTTTTTTTTTGGCAAAGTTTACAAAAATGGGGTTTACAAAGTGCAAAATTTGATATTTCTGAAGTTGATATGAAACAGAAGATATGCTTAACTGACAAACAGAAAAACATGTTTATGTTTACACATCCAGACACTTAAACATGAACCCCAATTAAAAAAAACAAAGATATATAAGTATCTAGAAATCTGTTATGTCTAGTTTTCAACATTCATCTGTAAAACCAATAGTCCTACAGTGTTCAGCTTTCCTTCACAATTCTTGTTCACATGATAACCATGAGCTAATTCTAAACTCTGAACAGGGCAACTTATCAGAGGTTTTGTTGTTCAGTAGATATTCTTGTCTCTGACAAATTTATCAGATGAACTAGAGCTCCCAGAGTGACCTTCATTTCCACCATTGTATAATCTTTATTAGTTCTTTTCTTTTCCCTTCTCTTCTTTCCCATTCCTCAAAATTCAGATGGGCACAAATAGGAGACCTACATATGATCCAGCTTGAGTTTCTAAGATATAGCAATATCTACAAACCTCACAATCCAAGAAGCTGTCGAACAGCCACTATTTTGTTCTAATTGGTCCAAGGATTGACAATGCACATCTAATTACAGAGAACCTAGACATGAATTCAGAGAATGAGCCTTAACAAGTTTAAACTGTCAAAATCCAAAATGGCCACTTGTCAGTCATTTTTCCAACCAGTCCCACAATAGACCAGTAAGTCAAATGTATGAAACACAAGAAGGATCCATGAACAACTTTCCAAAAAATCAATAACAAACATTAACTTCAAAATCCAATATGGCTATCTGACAGCTGTTTGTTTTCCTGATCAGTCTGAAAATTAAAGGTACCCAAAATCGGACTAATGGGAATCCACATATGTAATTTGAGATAGATGAATAGCAAATTTTCAACATTTTAAATAAAATGTCACCTGACTGCTAAGTTGTCTTTCGGACAATTCCAAATCTGAATTTTGATGTTAAATATGACAAAAGATCTATCTAGTACTTCTGAAGAAATATTGATAACAAATATTGTTTCAGGTCAGAGAGACCACACAAATAAATGCAAGACTTTGACCATTGCGAAGACTCATTTAACAAAGATTTCTTTTCTGGAGCTTAATTACCAACTAGTAGAACAAACTTTTTTTCAATGCTGAAAATCAATTATCCTTAACTTTTTTCGAGAAACTCAAACATGTCAGACTAATGAGGAATTACTATGCAACACAGCTAGCTTAGATGTTGTCCTTGCATTTGCATATCAACAACCTTGACCTTTAGATGACATATGTTGTAATCAATTGATAGCAAGATACAATCTGAAATTAGACTAATGAGTAAGATTGGTAAAAATAACTAATTACTGGATCTGATTTGCCCATCCTTGAAATCTTTAAGAAATTTTAAGTAGATTGTACATGGCCTTGATCCATGACCTTATCAAGATAATCATGTATAGAATTTTATCAAGTTTTCTTTAAAGCTTCAAATGTGCATTATAGTATTTGGTTTCCAATATAGTGTGTTAAGTTAAAGTCAGTGTGAATTGAACAACTACCAATCCTCTATGTAATTTAGCTTGAGATTTGATGGGGGGATAAGATTTAAGTTAAGACCTAGAAACATTCACTTTGGCTAAAGATGTACAATTTTCAATAACTTCAATATCTAATCCTGGTAACTGTTGATTTTATGAAAGACATAGATACAGGAAAGTAAAAGGCCTGAAAATTAAGAAGTACAATTCCTAAATAATGTCCCTCAAACACTCTATAAAAGTAACAGAAATTAAACAAAGGAATCTAATTGGAAAAGGACAGTCATGTTTGACTTTTGACCAAGATTAATGACCACTGCAGAAGCCAAAATACCAGTAAGAACCTAGTGTATATAAGCTACATCACACTACCCTCATTAGTTTTGCTATGAAAAAGTATGAATATGCTTCCACTTTGACAACAATTTGTGACTTTGATTCTTGAGTAATTTTCACAAAAATTCCCATGGCCTACCCCCACACGTTCAAAGTATCAGTTATTTTTGTCCGTTTCTATTTCCTTGTTAATAATTCTGTAGGAACTATCAATTTTCTAATTGATTAAACAAAATGTCATGAATTATGCAGTATGATAAGTTCTAAATAATTGATGTTTGTTTTCACTCTTCAAAAGTGGTGATTTAGGCCAGTACAACAGTGGATAATAAATGTGTTGGTGTGTTTTTGGGAGTCCTTCAACAATCCAAGTTCAGCCAGATTACTGCCCACCACAAGACATCCAATTTTATAGGTGAAGGGTAGGCAACTCTTAGAAAGAAGAATTCAAATACTTCATTTTTGATATCACAGAATTTATAGCTCAAAACTACCTGTTAAATTGCACACAGATTTAATTAACAAATGCATTAATCATATATCAAATATAGATCTTTTTAAAAATCAAATAACTTTGAAAAGACATTAAGAAATAAGAACAGTTTGCAAAAAGTTATCTTATCACAGGAGAAGATTTTATACCAGTCCATATGGCAGTTTGGCTGTGGGTAAAGGCACATGGTCAATGGTATGGTAACATACAGTGGGCAGTTTGATGTCCTTGTTACAGGGGTTAGCTGACCAGTGACTATCCCACTCAACCCTGAACTGATTACACATAACCCCTGCCTGGCCTGCTGGTGGATCTGTCATGTAGTTTTCAAAGAGAAGAGGATCCCCACTGTTTTCCCAGTACCACTTTTGAGCATCAGTGTTAAACACTGTAGCTGACAACCAGACACTCGGCACCTTTGCTCTTGTCTCTGCTGATCAATAGAAAAATACAAAATAATGATTGACACATCTTATGACAGTACAAGAGTTTATGGTAAAAATAATATTGGAAAATATATTCAGAATTAAAATTTCCACTTATGAAGCTTAAAATGTGACCCCATTTTAAAAAGTGTAACAAATACAAGTGGCCCAGTCAGCCTTAATCACTCACCAGTTCTGCAACTTTGAAAGAAGACTTCCAGGTTTTTGGGGGTTTTTTTTTTGCAATTTGAAAAACCCTTAAGTATGATTTCCAAAGAATGATACTAGACTGACACCATTAGTTTGGGCTTATGAGTTATTATAAAAATGTTACATGTTTGACCACTGTGACCTTGAAAGCTACACATTACAGGTTTGATAACAGTACCATGAGCCTCTTGGTTATTGAGAAGTACTGTAATTTGAAAAATCTAATACACTTGACCCCTGTTACTTTTAAAATGGGTTGAACAAAATTGGCAGTTCTTATTCCAACATGCCAAATACCCATTATTGGAACAGTGGACAAATTTGTGCTTATTCTGTAGATGTTTGAACATAACAACATATCTCAGGTATTCAAAATAGGACAGAATATTATTTTACTTTTTTCAGGCATTTCAAAAGTGAAACATCTTTTCAAATCTTTTCATTGTGCTAAAGATATTTATGCAAAAGGAACAAAAATCAAATTGGGATCACCACAACACCAAGTGAAATGGATCTTGATTAACAAAAAAAATTAACAAGGTCAAACAGGTTTGACTTGCAAAAGAAGTTCACATGTATCACAACTTGTATGTACACTAGCAAAATAACAATAGGACAGCCCATCTGCACAATGCCAAAATCAAACTGATTACTTTTATCTCTGAAAACCAATACATGAAAATATGAAATAGAATACTCAAATCACTTTTTAAGTTCCTTTTTTTGTACGTTTGGTGTAATAAAAATATAAAATCAAAAAATCAAAATGGGGCTTGCTGTGAAGTGAATAACTGGTAGTCCCCTGTCACTGCATGTTACGTCTTCCTGACTAACAAAGTGTTATACCTATATACATAGGTATCACTTTTAGTCTGTACACATCTCTCTACAGGGTACAGCTTCCGTTACAAACAACAGTCATGCTGGTGTGTGGGAAAAACAGTGGTTTGGTAGTGATGTTTAATCATCCTGAAACATTAGCTCCTTGAAAAAAAGCTACTGCATGTGTTGGTGGAACAATAAACACCCAGTCACAAGCCATGTGCAGACGACATCTTGTGGCAATTAGCTGTGGTGTAAACCACGGTTCGTACAATGCATATAAAGTTTTCATTAATTTGTTTAAATTGCTACGTAGGGAGTTACGCAGGACTGGATTTTTCTTTCATCATTTTTATTTTTTTTATTTTGGTGCAGATGGAGGCTGAGAACAATTAAACATGAACAGAAAATGAGGACAATGTTCCTGTGCCTACTCCACTCCTCCTTTAAAGTTATTTATTTCTATAATTTCTGCCAGCATTGACTGTCATAAATATGCAGAAATCAGTCAGCAGACACATTGTTTTGATTCTATATTTTCTGTAATGATTGCTGGTTTAGAGATCAACACTTCCTACCTGCTTCATTAACTGAACCACTTCTAAGACCAGTTCTTTACACAAAATCTTGAGAGATTTTATGAAATCCAAATAGAGCTATCTCATTACTTTCTATCAAGCATGAGCATATTTTTTATATTTTCAACTGTGACTTTGACCTTATATTTCTAGATGTTAACATTTTTTGCCACATTTCATCAAAACTGGACTGAAAATTCTGAAAATAAGGCCAGCCACAACCTATACTTCTAGTTATGAATCAAGTCACAGCAACCTTGACCTTTAACTGCCTCAAAACCCAAAGTAGTTCGAGATCCTAAAACTTTCTCCCAAACTATCTCATTTATCCTGCAATAAGGATGATGAAATAATGCTGCTTTACAGCTTTTCTAAGCCGCAACTTATATATAGGTGCACTTAATACCAGACTTGGGGTTAATTGCAGGGTGAATCAAGAATAAATGCAGCAGAGTGATACCTAAATCAGTGAGATATGGACATCACTTTAGAGCGACATGATCAGTTCATGAAATCTGTAAACTTATTCAGCCATTTCTTTATTGTAATTATTCGGACCTTTGGGGAAATGTTGATTGATGTCACTGTACCCACAAAAATAAATACTTGAAACCTTGTTCACAGCAGAATACAAGATATTCGCAAAAATAGACTTTGATGGCTGAGAAATGTCTATCACACTATAGGAACTATGTTAAAAGACCTAAATTCTCCTTCCCAAGTCCTCTATACAAATCAGTTGATGAATTTCTATGAATAGCAACAACAATAACTATAAAATTGACTCCAAAGCCTTCAAACATCCAGTCTTTTTATACATGTCTCTGACTGCTTTTATCAACCTCTCAAAAAGATATGAAATACACTGTTCACTACAGCTAGGATGAAACTTGATGTCTTACTAATTCTGATAAGATGCTATAAACAAGATTTCTATAATAAAAAAAATTACCTAAAAGGAATATTTGCAGTGACTGCTGCATTTTCCTTGAGGTGACTTCAGGTAGAGCTCCTTTGTGATTCTGACAATGCTGCCTGGCCATGTCGAAGGTCTGAGGCTTGGGTAGGTACATGAAGCAGTAGAGATCTACTAGTTGGTATCCAGAGGGACAGGCTGGTCCTTTTATACCAATATCATAGTCAGTTAGTCTAAACATTATACTACTAGCTCAAACCATAGTTTTAAAACTTCTTCATTTCACAACTGTTAGATATTTAAAAATGTCATTTTTGATATCCATTTTTGTCAGTTTTTCGAAGCAGATGAACAGAAAATCAATTGAATAATGTAAAATTTATTATATCAGCCAATACTCAAATGTTATCTCCTAACTTGAAGAAAATTTTAACAGAGATGATTCAAACATTTTCACTAGGCCCTAATAACAGAGTTTTAATTCATTTTTTGCAACTGGAAAAGCTTGCAAACCCTTCAAGTTGAGCAGATTTTCAAACTTACCTTGCTTGTCAGCCAGAGCAACAGGCATCTGTACAAGAAAAGTTACATTCACAAAGAACAGATCAATCAAACATCAGTGTTTAGTGTGGTAAAAATAAACAACAGACTCTGCCATTGTGCCATCACACTACAGCAATTCTTATCAATTACCTCTTCCACTACTCCATGGGAGCTTGTAATTTTGTACAGAAAAACATCTTAAACAAAAATATTTTTCTTATTCTTTATAACAAACTCAGCAGTTTTTCTTCATCACCTGTAGAAAGAATACTAGGTATTTTATTTTTCATTCTTGTTCATTTTTTTTTTTATTTTTTTCTCTTTTTTTTTTTTTTTTATTTCTATTGAATTCATGTTTTGCATTTAAACACCATGATGTTCCATGTTGTTCCTTCATTTTTAAGATAGAACTGTTATGCTTTTATTTTTCATTTGTGTTTAGTAGCAAATCAGAAAACCATGGAGTTTCAACAGAATGATTAATATTTGTTTTGAATACATGTATTACCTTTGTGTTTTGGTTGACCCCTCGTTTGACTCTTTCTACATGTCCTTGTATCGCCCTTCTTTCCCCTGAAAGATATAAAAAAAAAGCTTTCAGAAAAAGCTAATGAAGACAGAAGATTATACACATAATCTTCTTTTAAAAATCAGATGTGTGATCAAAATCTGTAGAGAATAAAAAAAGAACTTATAACACCTATGTATGTGTCAAAATTGAAAGAAGCACTCTCGAAATATTGTAGCAATACATAGTCCCCCTACCAGATTACTGTCTATCTAAATCCTTATCTTATACCCCTTGCAACATAGTGCAGAGGAGAGATAATTTAATGAATCAGCATGTGTGACAGACAGTCTGAGGAAATGTATGAGCAAGGCTGAGAGAGAAATAATACAAGCAAAACTATAGCTCCCATTGGTTGGTAGGGAACTAATGAAAAAAATTAAGGTAGAATAAAATCACAACAACAGACACATCTTCACTTCATTATAATAATTGCTTTAAAGATTCATTTTATATGACATAGATACTTTGAAGAGTTGTACTTAAAGGAATGTGATGGATAAGAAGTTCAAGAGTGAAAGAAGGGGCTTAACTCTGGCAATACAACTCAATTAATATATACACGTTAGTTTCATTGTTATGCAACATCTGCTTTGGTGAAAGTTGTGTTCACTGGAAAAGGTAAAAGGCAGAATGATTGGTGGACTAACTGTAGAACAAAGGGAAAATTGAAGTCCACTGTAATCAGACTAGTTAGAGACTAATTAAAGAACGGTACAAGAGACCAATGGGCCTTAACTGCCACCTGACAATAAAAATCTGTATATGAAAGAGGCAAAAAAGGCCTAAGATAAATTGCTCAACTTCTCTACAGCTTACATAGAAGACATTGTTGGTTCATGAAGACATTTTCTGAATTCAAAAAATGATTCCCCTCTATCAATGATGTTTCAGACCACATTTGGCTGAAATCCACTAAAGCATTAAAAAAAATAGTAGCGTTTCAAAGCAAAATATTGTCTTACTAATCCTTTTGGGGCCCTGCCCCCAAATCACAAGGAGCCAAATCAAATTTCTACATTTTAGAAATAACTGCCTATCTTGACTGATGAATCAGGCCAAAGCTTGTTGAAATTCACATAAGCAGATATGATGAGTAGGATTTTAAATCTAATTTCAACACTTCCCCCTCTCAACCACTAAGGGTCAGATCAAAATTTTGAATTTAAGAAATGATAAGCCTTACCCAACGATGCATCAGACGAAAGTTTGTTGATATCCATTCAGGTATGAAAGAGGAGCAGGGTTTTAAAGAAAAAGTTTACGCACATATTTTCTTATGATCTATACTGAAAGTTTCTTACTTCTTGCATGGTGCCTTCTGTGATGCCTTTTTCCTGCATGGTGCCTTCTGTGTTGCCTTTTTCTTGCATGGTGTCTTCTGTGATGCCTTTTTCTTGCATGGTGCCTTCTGCGATGCCTTTTTTTGGCATTGTGCCTTCTATGATGCCTTCTTCTTGCATGGTGCCTTCTGTGATGTCTTCTGGCATGGTGCCTCCTATGATGCTTTCTTCTGGCATGGTGCCTCCTATGATGCTTTCTCCCGACATGTTTTCTCCTATGATGCCTTCCTCTTCTATGTTTTCGCCTATGATGCCTTCCTCTAACATGCTTCTTCCTTCCACGATGCCTCCCTTTTCCACGTTTCCTTCCACCAGGAGCTTTTATACGGAGACATCTGTTCCCTTTTCTTAATGTTCCCATTGGACACATAATCCTTGGCTTTAGTCTGCCCTTCTGCGAATCAACATTGTCAAAAAACAAAACTAGAACTAGACTTTATTACATTAATGATTTTTCTAAATTGAATGAAAACAAATGTTTGGCGAAGTTTGATTACATCAGTTGATTCAACCTTCGAAATTTCATTTTTTTACATAAACAATCATTGTGTTATCTCATTATCTACTAATCTAAAACCTATTTAATGTACAACAGACCAGGCATACTAACTGATATTGAGAAAAACTTGTCAGCCAATTTTCTCATAATACTTTTTGAATGACCATATTATTTGTTCAATAGTAAAACATACCTTAACTTCTTCGTCTAGTTTATCTAAAGTTCTCTGTATGGAACGATCCTTGTTTCGTAGTTCCTTAAGCTCAGATTTCAGTGCTTTCAGTGATGTTTTCCACTGGCTAATTGACTGATCCACATAAGGAAAAAGAAATACATTTCACATAGGATTTCATCAATTTCATTTACATGGTTCAAATGACATTCTATATACCATGTATAATTATAAGCATATTACATGTAAACAACTACATTTGAATTGTTTTCTATCCAAATTTAGTACATATACCAAAACATGTAAACCCATTTACAGTCTCAAAGAGGTATAGCCACTAACCAAATTTGCTCAAAAGCAGAATCTTAATTCAGGTCCAACATATAAATGAGATTTAAACAAATGCAAAAATAAAAATTTCACAAGCATTTATACCTATTTCATCAACTCAAATGAATAGATTTGAAATGCACAATGACGTTCCATAGAACTTTCTCAATTAAATTTTGATTACCTCCCTTCATCCACAACACCAGTACAAATATATAAAAGGTCTGTGTGTCCACAAGAATGTCTCATTAGCTGATAACCTTACCCAGATTGAACATTTGATAATAGTTACAGAAATTTGTCCTCCAGTGACCTTTTATCACCACTGGATACCATTTTCAAATGTGTTTCCAAGCCAAAATATATTATCAATTCTCCCATTTTAAGCTATTAAGCTACCGACCCAATTCTGATGTAAAGAGAATACTCTTACAGCAATTGATGAATTGATTGTATAAACCCAATGAATCCTACTGTCAACAATAAAATGCTATTCCTTGATAAGATTAGTAGAGCTCACTCAAAACACTGTCACACACAATAAATTGGCACTACTTCACTGCTATAGTTTAAAGATCCTGTTGTGTATAAATTGTTTACTAGGAAATTTTATATCATCATTTGATAGAAATTATAAATTTCATTTATGATATACAATGATATTATTTTGTTTACATTCAGATACCCTCAACAAATAAATTGGTTTCATCATCTTCTGATAAGTCGGCTATAAAATTCAAATGATTTTTGTCATTATATGGCATCTATTTCAAGATTCTGTTTAAACTAAACAATCCTGTTTAATCAACCTTTGAAAGTGTGAATAATTTAACATAAAATCCTCAAACATAAAACAATGAAGTAACTTTATCCTTTGCTTCATCCACCAAAGAAAATTTAGTACTGCTACAATTTTTTTGTGTAATACGTATCAAATTGAAAAGACTAATAAAAACCTGAAAACAATTCTGTAATTTATCTTACCTTGCCTAGCAAAGACTTTGCCACACTGACAGAATTTCTTTGAGCAGCATTTTGATTGCGTTTCATTTGCATGTCCATATCTGCCAACTTTCGGTGGAGCTTGTTTACTGAAGTGACCAGCTTCCCATAAAGAGCTCCAGTTTTTCCGACCATACCTGCTGATGCCTGATTTTTGTCTATCTTGACCTGTTTAATTAAAAACAAATGAAAGATATATTCCATTGAAAGCAGCTATTGTGTAAAACTATACCTAAGCTTGAATTCCAATTTCAAGATTTCACTTATACATGCATTGCTGTTATTTCTAATAGTTGATTCAATATAATCAATATGCAAATTCAGAAATTCAAAGCATGTATTAATTGGCTCACACCACTTGGATTAAAATGATCTTCCTAATCAGCCAATCTCTTTTACAACCGTTTTGATCTTCAGTTAATTTAAGCTGTATGATTAAATTTAAACATAATGACTGACAAGTATCGAGAATCAAACCCAATTAAAAAGTCGCTGAAAGTTCATACAAAGTAACCCCATAAAAAATTAAGTACATATAACTTAACTTCTGATATTCATTTAGTAACAAATAAACCAACATGCCTATACCAGAAATTTAGACATTTTCTATAAGATAAATATCTTACTTTTAGCTAGATGCATCCCGTATTGGATATGAAAACACTTGATTACTCTAGTACAGCATATAAAATAGGATAGTTTCAATATCTTGTCTTTCCAACATACTTTCACCACCTCTTGCTTATTCAGAAAAATAAAGACTTTTACAAGTTGGAATCTGATTTTTACCACAAGCTTGTTCATCCTTTGTAAGTCCCCTGATAGAGTTTTGACATGACTGGACAGCTGAAGAAGTGCTTGTTTTTGGATTTTTTTACTGTTATCTTTGGTTTGTATTTTCTTTTCCATCGTGGATATGGAGTCTCCAAACTGTTTCATCCTAGCCGTCAGTGTTCGTTCCTTCCTACTAATGGAATTTAGCGCTTTCAAAATGGTTGTTGAAATTTTTGTCATCTGCAGTATACTTGGAATTTGTGACTGAAAGAGAAGATGAAAACAAAGATGAATCATTGCTTTATCACAAATGAAATAAAATTCAACTAGGTGGCACAAAAATACTATGAATTTTAACTATTTTGGTATCTTTGTTCACAGCAAAACGAATGGATTGTAAGAGAAAGGAGTATTAACATAAAGATTTTGTTTAAAAAGATCCCAGTCTCCTTCATGCTTATTTTACATGGCACATTTTTCAAGCAATTCTAGGTTAGTTAATGATGAAAATTCTGTGTTGTGAACTAAAATTTCTTCATTCAAAAACATGTTTTGGGAATGGAACCTAGATAAACCTTTGTCTTCAGAAGTTCCTGGACTGAATCCACTAGATCTGCATTAGTAGTTCGGATACCATCAACATTTGACTTGAGACTCTGGACAGCCATCTGTACATTGGTCAGATCTTTGATGACCGAAGCTACAGCACGCCTATTACTCCTCATTTCTCCTTCCAGTCTAGAATTGGTCCCTGCCAGCTTTGATAAGACATGCTTTATGCTAGTAACATCTTCCTGCCATCTTCTATTCTGTAAGGACTGTAAAAAATTAATCAATATTAAGATTATGACATGCATTTGTTGAACCAAGACAAAAAAATACTAGACCAGAAATAATTTTTGTGGTTCATTCCATAGACAGAAATCATACTGGAATGCTGTAAAAATTTTATGGAAGGATAATTTTTTTGACCAGTTACTTGTTTGCTAATTTGATCATCATTTATTTCATATAAATAAAAACTCACCATTGGATCAGAAAGTTTTGCCAAAGCTAACTTGATATTGTGTATAGATGTTTGCATACTAAGGATAGTGCTGTGCATATCTCCTCTTCCTTTGCTCTCTTGTCTAAGCGTTGAGGTCAACCTGTCTACAGTGTGCTCCATACCTCTAAGTTCATTCCAAAATGATTTCTGTGATCGAGCCAATGTGGACATTCCTTTGGTGATCCGAAATTGAGTATGCTGCATGTTATCTGGATTCTGAACATGTACAGGTTAATTACACAGAGTAGTGCTACCATTGCCAACCATGCATTTTGGTTTGTTCTCTGCATTTCACAAAGACTATATTTCTTATGTTTGGCATTTTTTGAAATAGAAAAAAAAAATTGTTGGCAATTCAAAACTTTTTACCTAGTATCCCTTTTCAATTGGGCTATATACAAACACAAATATATTTATAATTCAGTGTTATATTTGAATTGATTTCCCTCTGTTAAACAATTTGTTATAAATGAAACTATGTCCATGTCGCTAACACATCCCATGGTGACAGGTGGACAAAAACATAATAACACTAAATAGTCTTGCATATCATGAAATCACTTGCCAAAGGGATAGGCAAGATAAAGGCTTTCCATCTGCCAAATCTTGATCAAGAGGATTTTCTTGTATATCACTGTACAAAGTACTAGTTCAACATCCTGATTTATTACTTACAAAAATCCTCTTATCGTGTAGATAAGAAGATAGTCTGTTTAGTTTTCTGTCTAAGTTTGTGTTGCTTTGTGAAACTTTGGAAAGCTGTCGATTGATGCTGTTGTTGAATATTTTTACGTCATCCACATCACTCTTGAGCTCTCCTGCCACATGAGTAAGCCTTTTAACATTTGTCCCAAGGTTTGCAGTTGAAGACCTGACTGTCTGTAATGTTTTTGCAATGGTTCTTTGTGATTTCTGCAGCTCCAACAGATCATTGCCAATGTCTGATACTTGAGTGTGCAGCGACCTCAAACGACCATCCAAGTTCACTATGGCCTTGACCTGTTTCACAGATTGTTTCTTCAAGGCTTTCAAGTTATCCGTCTTTTCATCATCTGTCTCTTCCAAATTTTCCACTTTTTTCTGTACATTCTGAAATAATAAAATTATATGACATTGTGTATAACTTGATGTTATGATACTCTCATGGGATAAATATGAACCAAATCTGTTTAGAGGTTCTCAAGACATTGATATTGATTTAAGAGAAAAAGGGACAGAAAACATTATTGCAGCAGATGGACATAGATTTAAACATAATCGCATCCCCCCCACTCCCCCATCCCCCATCCCCCAATAATACAAACAAAGCTGTCCCCCATAACAACTTGTTTTAAATACACAAAGTTGAAATTATTTGAAAACTTCACAAATCAATCTTTTTACATCTTACTTTTAGTCTGTTTATTGATCTTTCAAGATCTTCAAACCTGCTCCCCATAGATGACTTGCTACTGCTACTTGATAAACCTGTCTTAGTTCCTGAAAAACAACGGTTTTACATGTTTTAATAAGCAGTACAGAAATACATATGGTTCTGGTGTACCAAAAGAATTAAAAAAATAAATATATCTCAACATTTTTAAACATCCTTTTAAATACAAGGTTAATGGTAAGCATGTCTTTTAATTTCATAATACATGATTACATCACTTTAATTTTATATTCGATAGTCTTGTATCATGGTTCTACTAGGTAAAAGTATGGTAAATCCATAATTTTATTATAAATCATTATCCCCCTCCAATAAAATTTAACATGAAGACGAAGTAAAATATAGGATAAAATATTTCAGTGTTAGTTCCAAATGATCTTTAACAAAGTATACCAGTTGTACCTTGATGAATATGTAAACTTACCACTGGGTTGTGTGTTGCTGCTGACTGCATGTTTAACATTAGGATGATCTGTTTCAGACAGATAGCAAGTCCTGGTATCATTAATGAACTTAAAAAACTGACATTTGATGGTCTTTTCAGCAACACATGCACTTGCACATGTATCCAAGGTCAGGCCATCTTTTTTGACAAGTCCTGGTGTCACCAAAACCTCGGTCTTTCCGTGAAAAATGGCATTAGTCAGTGCTGCCTCTGAATAGGAAAAATTATATAATCACCATTTGTTCAAAATGATGCAGAATGTGCAAATTGAGATGTGTGTAATGAATGTTTATGTGTGTAAGTTTTAGTGCCTTGCTACATATTATCTGGTATTTGTGTTAATTGTATGTTTTAGGTGAATTGTTGCCATCGTAGGATTACATCATACATTATGTCAGCTCAATAAAGTGTATATAATTACTTAGCTGCCCAGTGGCCGAAAGGTGTCTTTCTTGTGATGGCATAATAATTTAGTTCCCAAAGACACACTTTCATTGTTGCAGTTTCAGCAGGTTGAGCCTTTGATTAAATTACACGACTTGAGTATCATATGAAATTGATAAAGACTGCTTGCAGCCCCAAACAACCCCTTAAACATGCTGGGGCAGTATCAAAAGGTTGAGTCTTTAAAATTACACCATTTGAGTATGGAATCTGACTGATAGAGATTGCCTGCATGTCTGAAGAATCCCTTGAGCAAGCCAGATGTTCCAGAGACCTCACCTAGGATCAGACAATGTAAGTTGTTATAACACTGAATGGACAGGACTACCTTCTTCGTATTCTCATTGAGACAGGGATTTAATATCATCCATTTCTGTTGCCTGAACACCAGATTCACCATTTCACTGGTGATAGGATTGGAGATGTAAAACTCCTTGACAAACCATCAATTGATATTACATGAGAAAATGGAGGTCCAAGTTGATTTCTGTCTGAGATTACATTGCAGGAATGTGTTATTTCCACGATTCTCCACACTATCCTCCAACAAAATCCCAGGGATAAAGAGGGTTATGTATATTTCTTGCCATTTAAATTCTGTTAAGAAACAATAGTAGTATTGGCATGGTTGTTTTGTCAGCAGGCCTACCCAGTACATTTACCTGGACAACTCTCTGACCAAGTACTTGTCACTATTACCTAGTAGCACTCATTTATATTTCCCTGCTTCTGATTCTCACCTCAAAAAAAAACTGAATCTAATTAATCTAAATGAACATGGCCCAGCACCTTACATTTTATTCGAATAAGTGTGGTGGTGGCACAAATAGAAAATAATGCTGATGTTTACGTACAAACACATCATCATATGTACCTCTAAATATCATTATGGTAACCATTTGGTCTGTGGTGTGCATTCTTTGGTTGTGATTTTGGATTTGTTGTTCAGAAAAAAGCATGCATGCTTTATTCCATTCGAAAGACTGCTATTAATATGCCAGAGATTCGAGTCTCAATTCTGTCAGAAAGCTAGATAGTACCTCCTAAAGTGTGATACAGATAGTATTTCCATAGCAATTAGTGCATTTTTAACTGTGCATGCATGTTTTATTTTTAAATTTACATCATAACAAATCATTTTGTTTCAACATCACGGATTGTCATAACTTACCGAATCCACAGATGACGTTTAGAAGTATTATCAATGGGAATAAAATTTGCCCTTTTCTTTTGTACCATGGTCGGTACATCTTATTTTCATGCTACGTCCAAAGATCAGACTTTTGTGTGTTCTGTCGCTTTTTCGTCGTGGGGAAAATGTTTACAACTTCACAGAAAAACGTCTCTCTTCGTCAATATCATTTTCCGGTTATGACGTCATAAACGTCATAGGTCACGTGGAGTTTAGCGGTGGAACCACGTGTGTTTCAGCTGTGTTTGTCTGTTGACTTAAGTATTTCATTTTTCATTATTATTTGTTTCTAACAGAATGCGGAATCGGAACCCCCTTATTTTAAGAAAAGTAACCGATATATTACGAAAACCCTACTCCTTTCTTGTCGACAACCATTTAAATCGCCCGCCTAAAAACTTACCTCAATCGGCGAAGTTATCAAGTTACATTGCCAATAGTACATAAGGCCCGTGAGAAATGGCTACACCTATGCTTTCTAGACACCAATGTGTTTGGCTCGATGTTGCTATGCTGGTGTTAATCACAAATATTGATTTGAAAAAAAAGTAGTTGAAAAATCGAAGAATTGTTATCTGAAAAGGAGAATTTCTCGATTTGTTTAATACTTCTTCAAATGACTATTATCTTATTAATTTCGTTACTTATGAATATAGTGCCAAGATCAACTTTTGAAAACAAAATCACGTGAACAATATACATTTTCAACGGATAAGTCTCCTGTGGTGAATTCAAGGGCAACAACTCAAAGATCATTGTAACCATTCGAGTGATCCCAAGAAGTCTTCGGTAGAAAGATGTAAAAATCTAGAACCTAAAAGGATTTTCAGATGTGACTAAAAGGAATCATGATAAAATATTTCATGTTAAACGATGTGGTATTTAACAACAATCGCTATACGACTGAAAGTCCATTGTCATTTAACAGCCGACAAGATGCAGATGTAGTATCTGAATTTAATTCGCCGTCGTTTCTGTCCCTAGTGATATTGTAATTAAATTACACCTATTTAAGTATCTTTTATAAAGCAGTTTAGTGGTATTGGATTTAGGTTTGAACCCATCGCTGGCTGTAATAAACATTTTATAACAACATTTAATAATCTACATATATATCTATGTAGATATAAAATCGTTTACATTGAGCAAATTACGCAGTAATCTTATGGTGGGATATTTATGTAGACAGTAGAAGTTTAGAAAATATTTAGACATTAACACGATTTAGATAAATAGATTTAAATTTATCAGTCTTGATGTTACTATAAAACAGAAATTGATTTCAGTTGTTTTCACAATAAATTTAGAACAAACATCTTTGCACGATGTGTAATTTTAATTTGTATGATTTAGAATGGAATTATCTGTTGTGAATTATTTTTCAATATTAGATTGCGGTTCTTAATTTTAATATTTTTTATTATTTGTTATTATTTATTATTATTTGTAATAATCGCTGTATGTTTGATAATTATTTCATAATGGACGTGACAGTTTTATCAAATAGAATATTATTGAATTGTACTGGATTGTCTTGTACCATTTCTAATGTTGTATTATACGTCGTAGTGTCACACACACACAACAGTTCTGTATTTACATTACACATACATACGCATTACACACTTAATGTTCATTAACATAATTTCATTGTTTTAAATGCGTATACTTGAGTGATGACAGGATACGCTCGACTTAATACGATCTTACATGTATACAGTATATTTCTGATACACATCACACTTGCAGGCCGGTCACGTGGTTCGAATAGGTTTAATAGTGGGGTGTGAACGATCTATAAGGTACATGTTCCAGAACACATCACTGGGCGGTTTATTATAAATTGGACGTAGTTGGCTACTGGCGAGACAGTCAACCATGGGGGTGCTAGGAGCCGCAAGTATGCCGTTTATAGCTGGCGTGGCCCTTTTAGGGTCCGCAATTCTTCATATCGTGTGTTTTATAGCCCCTAACTGGGCAAATGATGGAACTCAGTCCCTGGGGCTGTGGCGATATGGAAAATGTAGAGATCCAGATTTTCATAACTGCTACAAGCATGACCATGTGGATACACAGTTGGAAGGTTAGTAAACAAAACCTTTAAATACAATAACGTTTCATTATTTTTCTATCACCGACAACATGAAAATAAATCACTGTGTTCCTTTTATGAATCTATTTGATGAAGAAAATGTTTGAAGTAGGATAAAATTACATAACTTCTCGTTGAGTTTTATTTTTCTCTCCGTAAACATTATTGATATCTATTTCGTGTGTACATGTTAAGGATGTGTACAATTGTTTATCTTTTTCGACTAAATTAGTGTTCGTGTAACTAAATCTATAGAGACATGATGATTGAGTGCAAGATATTTTTCTTTCCCGGTGTGCATGTGTACAGGAAATGTAAATACGAGAATTCTGGACCAAGTTCAGACTTTTTCACAAGCCTCCTTTATACTGCATACGTATCGGGGGTTATGGGGAGCAATAGAATACTGAAATTTTAAAAAGAAAAAATAATCCTGTGTTCCAGCAAATTTTCACCCGTTAACACTATTTGATCACCTTAAATGTGTGATGATTAGGGCATGCAGTTTATAAGATTCACGATATATATATATATACAAATCGTAAGTTAATGTTAACAGCCAATAACATTTCATTAACTATAGTTTTAATGTAACAACGACTGACTCATCAAGTTGCCGCGGGCTTTACTCCGCCCTCTCGGAATAGATTGAATTCCGGATTATATATATATATCTTTCCACTGAAGTGTCAATATGCGTTTCCATCTCAGCGGACCGTAATTCATGAATGGACAGGAATCAATATCACAACCTAGATTACACTGCATCACAGTAAATAGTGTATATCTGGATTAACTCCAATAGATGAAATGTATGATGAAGATTTCATTGCATACGTGCATTCGGTTCACTTGGCGCGTTGAATGAAACGCCGAATTACCCGCGTCAGCTACACTTCACGCTGAACACTCTTAATCGAAGGACGAGTTCTTTTTGTTTATTTAAGTCTCTGTTCAGAGGGATTAGGCTTCTGTACATCGGAAACTCAGTGAAAATATTTGACGACTGATTGTTACACTTTTTCAACCGTCCATTTTTTTCCCTTTGGTGTGCATTGCGTCGTGCCAAAAATGCGATCCGTAGTGTAAATTCAGGAGTCTAACAGCAAAAAGTCATGTTCTGACGCAAATATTTCATTTTGGTGCAAGTGCGCCTGGACAGGTTTTCTTACACAGGGACAGACATTCGCTTTGTATCACAAGTGAATCGTCATCGATGTAAGCTTGATGGATTGTCTTTTAACATAACCTGTTAGTTTGATTTTCTTTCGTTCTTTATTATGATTTATTCTTCGCAAAAAAAAAATCACATTTATGATGATGCAATGAGACACCGAAAACACAAAGTAGGATTCCAAGGGTTTAATGGGCAGCGAGGTTGAATTTTAAAAACAGGACGATTACGCTACAAGACTGCTCCCTGTGGAATAATGACAAATAACGTACATATTTCAACCAATAGTTACGAAAAATATAGCGAGCGATGTACATTCAACTTGATAGTCTGTCCCTTGAGCGCTAAAATTAAAATGGCCAAAGCTTGGTTAACTTAAATAGTGACCAAGAAAAAAGTTTCTGGGGAGTATTTATATACAATATATGTAGATATGCAATTCAATTCATAATTTTTTTTTCAATACATTCTCCATCGTTATATATTTGGAAGTGTCATTTTTAAAAATTGATGTTACACCTGAAATGAAAGTTTAAAAGTTCTCGGGTCCTGATAAATGGCGTCAAAGGGTTATCACCTGCTGGTCTAACTTGTGAATAATTGGAATTTTTGCCAGCGTATCAATTGAAGTAAATGCGAAGGATTAGCATATTTAACTACCATCACACTTTTTATAGGGGACATTTTTCTTGATGCCCTGCTGTTTGAAGTAGTTGATAAGTTTCGGTGACATTTTAGCTAAGAATCGCATCACAGAGAATGAGGTGACGCCCCTGTGACTCACAGAGAGTCGATGAAAGCAAACTTTCAAAGTTTGAAGTTGCAGTTTTCATTCCACAGTTTTACGAATTTCCCATCGCTTCAGGATAACAAAACCCCTAGAATGTCTTATTTCCAATGCGATCACACATTAGAACTACCGCTTGTTTTTGGTACAAGATTTCAATTGATGTCTGAATTTAAAAAAAAAATGACTTTTTCATTTGCGAACTGGTATTCGTATGTATATTGCATTGTAAACTCGGCGAAGATATTTCTATTAGTAGTGAAATCTAGAATGTGTATACTTATCACTGTTTTGGGCGTTGTCTTGACGACACAGGTAAAACAGGTTTCAGGCGGAAAAGGGTTGGGTTTTGATCATGTCAAAATATGTTTATACTAATCGGGTGTTCGTTTCGTTGTAATGTAATCGATATTGAAGTATTTGCATGCGTTGAACTGTTGACGGACTGCACCTACAGATATCGTCAGAAATGAAAACATGCATTTTCATTACTGGTCCATTAAACACTGAAAGTCAAACCCACACATACGCACGCATACAAATCTACTGAAATAAAGACGCTTTGTTCACTTTCACTTTTCAATGCAGTTAATCATCGGGGCGCGACGCACCTCATCACTACATGCAACCAGACACAGGGGCTTGAGAATTTGGTTACAGTCTATGTAAGCTTGGAATTATCATGACATGCGTTTGAAATTCCTTAGAAGCTTTAATTTGGGGTTAAGACTGGTGTCATTTCAACGAATGCTGATCGAACACACTAAATCATCAGAGATATTTTGTCAAGATTGGCCAAAATTGACATAATGACGCTAAAAAATTCTCAGGTCCGTGTCACTGGAATATATGTGGAATTCTCTAACTAAGCAACGCTAAACGAATACAGTTATTGCTACACAATTAAAATTACAAATATATCCTTGATCTGGATCTGATTTGTGTATAAACGGACAAGGCAGCGATAAATGGTGTAATTAACAGTAAAGGTATCTTGTTTGAATTATTTGACAAACTGATTTTAAACAGATAACTTTTATCATTACGTACACTGGACTCTGTTTTTGCTAAACGAGATACGACGAATTGTCTGTACAAAACTAAACTACTAGCGAATGACTTGTTTTTAAGTCGTATCATATGTCTGCTTATATCCTGGGGTATAGGGTTGAACTGCCAACGTCTAAGTAATGTCGCGACGAATTAACTATAAATGGTTTTATGAAGTGCAATATGTTGAAAATTCTGACGTATCTCGATTTTAAACTCAGACAAGAACTTAATCGTTTTAACAAAACCTCTAAAGTACGGCTTTAATTCTCTAGGGATCCTTAAACATTGCTGCAAAGGTCCCACAGATTTGGTGCAAATTCCAAACTTCTGATTTTGTAACCAGGCTGTCATTATTCAATATCGCTTGTATAGACAGTGCTATTCCAAGTCCATGTTTTCAATTCTAATATCGAGTATCCCGTATCCATGACAATGAATGACTTTGAGTTGACCCTATAATCAGGTTTACTGATCCTGTAAACATGTATTTGCATGACTGATTTTAGCACGAATTACATGTAATACTACTGTTTCGAACGCGTTATATTTCAGTCGGAGCGGTCACGCGTGATTAAATCTCTTCGGAGTCGGTAGTTCTGGTCGATTTTTTTATGTATTCGCTTTATTATCGGGTGGGAATGGGGGCGACATGGGGATGACACAATTTAAATTAGTATATTGTGGATGGAATTGGTTTCAACGCTTCTTGGCCGTGGCAGTTTGTATTTCTCAGGAAGCTGAGAAACGGACTGATCTGCTATCGTGGTTGTGTCCTTGGACAGAATAGCATACGGCGAGCCACCCGTATGTGGTTCAGTGAGGTTAAGAAGTAGTCACCGGCTTCAACAAGAACCCGTCTCAAAATGACCCTGGATGTTCTGAGACCGATTAACTCAGGAAAGAAACAATATTGTGTAACTGAAATAGATTCTGGCATTGCTCTCACCCCGGCTGCAACATGTCTTCTTCATTTAGATTCGGAGAGTCAAGAAACCTCCCTTACATTTGATCTCAATCAGTCTAGTTATGTTTTTCTCCTACACTTTATGACGATACTGAAACATGTTGATAATTTTCTTCTGACACCACCGAAGGCACTTACAACTATCAAGTTTATAATCTTTGTCCTATTGTTAACTTCCGTCTGCCCTTTCATGGGACAGTCGGATGTCCTAATGCCTTCATCATTTTATATGGCAGAGATAGAGATTTATTGGTTTGGGACGAACCTTATTGGGTACAAATCTACGAAAAACGTATTTAAAATGAATGTTTTGAATGGGCAAAATGTTTCAGATTTTCATAAGGCCGTCACTGTATAAGAAGACAACACACGCCATACCACAACAAAGTGTGTAACTTTCCAATTTGAAAACACAATGGGTGCGAATTCATTCTTCACTGGAGTATCAACAGAAAACTCTGAAAGTCGAGCATCATTAAAGCAAAGGAATGTCGTTCATGTATGAAATGATTAGTTACCCGTATGTATACGATACCATCTCTACCGTGAAATCGCTACAGGCATGTACTTGTAACAGACAATGACTGTTTATTGTAGATTTAGTGTGATAACGGCTGTATATTCACAAATTAAAGATAATGTCAATTTTCCAAGGCCTTGCCTGTCGTTTTACTCATAGTGTTAAACTAGAAAAATCTAATGAAACGTGTAGAAATAATTATCGCCCCTAAAGTTATGTTAAACATGACGGCGACCGTTTTAATTACAATTATAAATTTAGGAAACTGTGACATTCCAATTATAGTTTCCTAGTTTGCCTAATTTTCTTGACATACCGCACACATCTCGCCAGAGGTGGCACGGCCGAGGCGTCACTGAAAGCAGCTAGGAAATAAAACCTTGAACACAGCAGTTATTTAATACGTTTTAATTTTTCTTGTTATTGATTAAATAAACCGGACATTTCTTGAAGGAATCTCACTGCGGATTGACAAGCATAAAAAGTTCAACCCGACGAACTACCTGGAACGTAGCATATGGTGATACTTTGTGTAGACATCTTGTCAATGTATCTGTTTTACTGTCAAATCCAAGAGATTTTTGGAATCTTATTTCCTCTATTTACGTCTACAGCAAATCTCAAATGTACTTGTAAATATCCACCGTGATTTATATATATATTTTTTAGATAGTTCTTTATTCTATATATGATACAAGTGTATCTGTAGAAACAGCCGTGTGACTGTCATGTTATTATAATTTGGTAGTACACACAAACGAAGTTGATTGAACTTTTTAATACAAAATTTACACATGTAAGACGACACAACATCAAAAGTATTAACATCAAATGGACTCCTTCATTTCTTTAGAAGTAGTCGAGGGCAATTTTATATATTGTTAATCTATGCATAGACACAATTTATAATGTTTTGAAATCTTCTCCGTAAAATCACAACCCCCGTGGCCAGTCAACATGACATAGAATACGAACGAAAGTGACATCGACACGAGATGTCAATTTCCCAGTGAAATGTGAATTCATGTCGATGACCCTCTAGTACTAAGAAGGCTACCCTTTGTGTTTGTATACATGCGTGAGAAACGGGTGTAGGTTTCATTCACAAATTCTTCTGTGTAAATTATATACGGGCGTGTCAAATTCAATCGAGAAAAAAAGCTGTGAATGAAGTTGTTAACATATGTATGGATTAAGACTTTTTGTTGTAAAAGTTTTGATATAAAAAACACGGATATATTACAATATATACATACAACATTCTAGATTCAAGCTGTGGATTTCGTTCCCATTTCCTTCGTTCCCTCCATCCTTGCACGTTAAACTACATATGATTCGTTGCAAAGCACTATATATAAGGGGACGTTTAATTCTGTGTAATGAAAGATCATAATTTGGTATAGTATGATGTACTATGTACATTGGTTCTTTTCCCAAATCAGGATTTCAATCGCATTATGATCTTAGTCAAAGTTAACAATCTGACAAAAATCTCAAGAACAGTCCATAAATGGTATTGCTGTTATACTAGATATATTTTGTGAGGTTTTAATTCCGCAATAACACATCATTAACAAATCCGCAAAACGTTTATAAAGTATTTGTTTAAAATTTAATTCGTTACATAGAAATAATTCAAATATCGCTTTATTTCCATTAATATATAATGAATTAAACTTCACAATTTAAAACAGAAAGGCTGAATTTCAAATACATTATTTTCTGCATCGACAGATCGGTTCTTTTGGTTGCAAGACAAACTAACACTCGTTTTACTTACAGATTGGTTCCAGGTGGTACGGGCCATGGGGTGCCTGGCTGTGATATGCCTTTCTCTACCCCTCGTTATACTGCCAGTCTACATGTATATCGCCCTCGGCATGTACTATCGGAGGATGATGGGCTTCTTGGCATTCTGTAGCTTCTTGGCAAGTAAGTAGCTATCACGATATCAACATTTGAATGAAAACTCTCCTGTTATTTCCTCTCTATAGTGACATTTATGGAGCACTCTGTGTATCGATAGTCATCGATATAGGGACATTTTTGCATAATTTAGTATAACAACAGTTCAACGAAAAGTGACGTGATATTCCCTCAATGTAGTGACATATATGTAACACTCATTAACTATTTCATGGCGAGTCGTTTTACTGAATTTAGGAGCAGTGTTATGGAAGTATCCAAAACGTATTTAGCATGAACTATCCCGTGTTTAAGTCAACATTTTAGATTGGGAAGAATGATACGCCCCTGCACCAACACACACTCCCCCGCCCGAATTATTGACTATAACACGTTGTATAAGGAAGGCATTCTGTATAACACATCAGTCCTTTACTGGCAAAATTATATTCGTTTGAGGCATAGACAATGATGGTTTATCACAACACGAACGAAAAATTATTGAAGAAATATTAGTTATCAAGGAGTAAAGTTTTCCCCTTTTATTTTGATGTTAGGAAAAATGTCAGAAACATAATGCGTGATGTTAGCAAGTCATTTCATAGCAATACACAACTTGAGTTTGCTTGTGTGCGTTTATTAGACGATGCTTTCAGTGTCGTTTTAGTCATACAGGGCTATCGGTATATAGAGAATGCATGGTCAGTGTCTTCAAATACAGCTTGTATTTTAAGACACTGACCATATATTTTATTTATCCTGCAACATGGATTGAAATTCAGAATATTGAAACTTCAAGTTTTGTTGTTTAGTCTGTTTTTAACTGATGTTGACGCTACGCTGAATTTTACCTGATGACACACACCGAAATAATTGCTTCCCGCCAAGATATAGTTCGAAGTTTTCATCGAATATAACAGTGATTTTATTAATTTTCTTAGAAAAAACATGTTCAGTACAACATGTAAAATAGCTATCTATATTTCTAAACGTAATATTTAAGTAAATTCAGAGAGTAATTATGTCGCCAATTTTGTCTTTCTTCACCCTTGCTAAACAGCTGATGTTTTAAGACACTGACCATGTATTCTCTTCGCGCGCGTGACCCCTCGAGCTGACCCCGTCGCAGGTATGATCGATATGCTCATTTTGGTGTCGATTTCATACTAAACAACTGAATGGCTATTCCTAATGATCATGTTTCACGCTGGAAAGGTTCGACTATCCTCCGTTCCTTACTTGATACAGAAGTGACATGTTTGTATCTACATTGATGGATAAAGGTTATTATCATTAGACGTTTAAGAGGTTTCGGGTAGATACTGTAAGGTGAAAATTTCATTTATCAAATACAACAATACCCCAGTTCAAAGATGTGAAATCAGCTAAGACCCTCACGAACTTTAGCCTTTGGGACTGTATTTACAAGGTGTCCCCAATCCCAACCCTTCTGTACCTGTTCTGGCCCTTAATAACAGGTATTATCTCCCGATCCGCATCACGCTGACGCTGACAGGTGTAAGTTGTACACATTCTAATATAGGAAGTCCGCCCCCATAAAACCTCTGCTCAACATCACACGTGAGACAGGTAAACACAGTGATGTCTAGAAACTTTGACTATGAACAATTTTGAGTGTACACAATCTAGCAATTAACAATGTTTAATGAGTCGGGACATCAAATTTCTATATTTCACAAATACATGTTTATTGTGTGGAAAACAGCATGCATGGCATTGCTCTATACTATATCGTTAGCATAAATATATTTATTCTATGTAAACATTTAGTGAAATTAATAACAAATTTTCATAATGAAAGGAGGATATACATATATAAATAAATAAATAAAAAACAAGTGCCGGTAAATTCAATGATATGATGTACAGTCATATCCACATACTTCCTGTCGTAACCGCCCATTTCAGGTGCTGAAATACTGCAGTTGATGTCAACAAAAGTTGAATAGGAATGACACAACCCTCATTTTATTTTTCATTTTAAATCAAGAGTGTGTGGGATGGGAGTATTGACAAAATCTTCAAACGAAAATGTTTGAGGTACACGCCTAATCCTATGTCCCGTGTAAATTTATCTGAACAGGTGCGAATAAATATATCACACGTCCTTTATATAAATGACAACTCATAACTTCAAACAATTTATCCGGTGAAAACTAGTTATGATGAATTGTATTAATCTAAGGAATCGAATCTATGTGCAAATGTCAGCTTTTCAAAAGTAAGCCAGGTCCATAATTTCATTTTCTCCTTTTATTTTCAGCACTTAGTATAGCGGCCGGAGTGGTGATCTTTGTTGTCGGAGCTACAGACGAAGGCTGGTCCTTAGAATGGTGTTTTATCGTCGATATCGTCGCCGGTGTTTTTGCTTTCATTGGTTTTGTGGTTTTACTGGCTGTTCTGCTGACCAGACGTCCAGCGGATCTGAAACCAACTTACTATCCTAGTACTATTCATGTGGACCCTGCTAAGCCGAAACTTTATCTTGTGCAAACGGAGCCATACTGATATTTTTTATAAACATTACATTGTGTTCATTTGTCACGCTATGTTTAACCAGGGACGTCCCTGGTTTAACCTGCTGTATCCAAATAACTTCAGATGTGATAGAAACACGAAAGTCCAAAAACGAAATTGTCGTTGTAAACTCTATGGATTTTTTTTACTTCTTCCCGTCATAGACACTTCGGATAATTAAAAAAAAACGAAGAAGAAGAAAAACGAGACTAGAAGTATACATACAGAGATGTTATTTTCTTCAAGATCAGAAAACATGAACTTTATACGTAGTTCAGTTGCACGGTTGCATGCTGTCACTGAAATGAACACGGATAATTTACCAAATACATTTCATTTTTTTTCACGCAAAGCAATGTATTCTGCAAGTTACTGGCCGTATCCCAATACCTAAATTTGACACGTCTCAACCAACGAGATTGCAGAGCAAAAAAGGGGCGACATTGGACATTAAATGCCGAGGTACTTAAATCTTCATATATAAAATTGCAAATGAAGAGAACCAGATAATTAATTTCTCAGAGACCTAGGCAGGTGTCTGGAGATTTGTTGAACATGTTGAAACTCAACAGTTTTATAGAAAATATAAAAAATATTTTCATATTTGTGAGTAATCATCAAGTTACACACCTAAGGGATGTGCCTTGTCAGTGTACTTTATAAAAATACAAATCTTTCTGGAAATAATTTAAGGTTTGACAGTGTCATTTAAATATCAAGTACGAAATTTCATCGTTGATAAAGTTTATGTTAAGTTTATTATTGTAATACAAATACTTTTATACAAAGCTGTGCATTTAATATGAATTAAAACATTTTGTTTTTTAAGGTATAATTTCCTCTGTAAGTTGTACATCTCTTCTCGGTATTGTGATTATTGTTGACCAGAAACATTGACTGTTTTTATGGACGTAGCACTCCGTTATCAACATTCTGTAGGGGAAATGGCAACATCACAACAAACGAAGTACATGTGCATACATTAAATTTAAGCATATACGTCAGAATAAAGTACATACATGTATATAAGTTAGGTTGAAGTACATACATGTATATACGTCAGGTCATGTGTCTGAATTAAGCACATACATGTATATATGTCAGGTTGAAACACATACATGTATGTACGTCAGGTTGAAGCACATACATGTATATACGTCAGGTTGAAACACATACATGTATATACGTCAGGTTGAAGCACATACATGTACATACGTCAGGTTGACGTACATACATGTATATACGTCAGGTTGAAGCACATACATGTATATACATCAGGCTGAAACACGTACAGGTACATACGTCAGGTTGACGTACATACATGTATAAACGTCAGGTTGAAACACATACATGTATATACGTCAGGTTGAAGCACATACATGTACATACGTCAGGTTGAAGCACATACATGTATATACATCAGGCTGAAACACGTACATGTACATACGTCAGGTTGACGTACATACATGTACATACGCCAGGTTGAAGCACATACATGTACATGCGTCAGGTTGAAGCACATACATGTATATACGTCAGGTTGAAACACATACATGTACATACGGTAGGTTGAAGCACATACATGTATATACGCCAGGTTGAAGCACATACATGTATATACATCAGGCTGAAACACATACATATACATACGGTAGGTTGAAGCACATACATGTATATACATCAGGCTGAAACACATACATGTACATACGGTAGGTTGAAGCACATACATGTACATACGTCAGGTTGAAGCACATACATGTATGTACGTCAGGTTGAAGCACATACATGTATATACGTCAGGTTGAAACACATACATGTATATACGTCAGGTTGAAGCACATACATGTACATACGTCAGGTTGAATACATGCACATAGGTTGAAGCACATACATGTATATACAGGTCATACGTCAGGTTGAAGCACATACATGTATATACATCAGGCTGAAACACGTACATGTACATACGTCAGGTTGACGTACATACATGTACATACGCCAGGTTGAAGCACATACATGTACATGCGTCAGGTTGAAGCACATACATGTATATACGTCAGGTTGAAACACATACATGTACATACGGTAGGTTGAAGCACATACATGTATATACGCCAGGTTGAAGCACATACATGTATATACATCAGGCTGAAACACATACATGTACATACGGTAGGTTGAAGCACATACATGTATATACATCAGGCTGAAACACATACATGTACATACGGTAGGTTGAAGCACATACATGTACATACGTCTGGTTGACGTACATACATGTAAATACGTCAGGTTGAAGCACATACATGTATATACGTCAGGTTGAAACATGTACATACGTCAGGTTGACGTACATACATGTATATATGTCAGGTTGAAACACATATATGTATATACGTCAGGTCATGTGTCTGAATTAAGCACATACATGTATATACGTCAGGTTGAAACACATACTTGTATATACGTCAGGTTGAAACACATACATGTGTATACGTCAGGTTGAAGCACATACATGTACATACGTCAGGTCATGTGTCAGAATTAAGCACATATGTCAGGTTGAAGCACATACATACATCAGAAAGAAGCACATAAATACCAATATGTCTTGAAGAGTCACATGTGTCAAATGGATGACTCTAAACAATAGCGTCGACTTTTTCTTTATTCCAGATTTTTGTTTTATTTTACACAATCCTAATCAGTGCACTCTCGACCCATCATGTCAAGTGAATAAAGGGCAGTAACTCTGGGAGTACTTCTCCATCAAGAAACAATGTTGCTGAAAATATACATCAGTTCACCAATGTGCAATTATATAAATATTTATGTAAGAACACATGTTTACAATTAGGCCAACAAATTTTTGACATTGTTACTTTAAGCAGCTGTACATCTTCCAAATACGAATGTCTCAATCTATGTATGAACTCTGCTTCTTCACAGTAAATATTGCACAAATCTATGAGTATTAAGAGACGTAAAGATATTGCCTGGGTAGTACTATTTCATCATTCATCATAATTACTGACTTTTAAATAATTTCGTGCTTAATGATAACAAAATTGACAACAAAATCTTTCAACGAAAAAATATTTTGAATCCCAACACTGTATCAGTGACAAAATATTTTAGGCATATTTAAGTGTCTGTAACAAAGAATTTAGAATTTAACAAAATATTTAACATATAATCATGAAAATAAACCTGAAACATAGAAATAATGAAGACGATTGGCAGCTTTAATGATTGACTGAAGAATAATGAAAGGTAAGCTTAACAGGATATCATCAAATGGCAATGAAGATTATACTTGGTCCCTTAAGTACGTTTAAATAGTTTATATAATTCCATTGTCCAAGGAACAGTGGCCACAAACCACTGGATTTTGTTCGGTCAACCAGATTTAAAAAAAAAAAAAAACCAGAGGCCCATGGGCTTTAATGGTCATCTGATTAAAATGACCAATATATCATAGAACAGCAGAAGCAGTCGTTTAGAAAAGTTAGAATATCATAGCAGTAAACCAAAAAAAAATTAATTTCAGTCTCTCAACATTTCAGCTCCAAGCAACAGCATATATGTTTTTCAATATGGTGGCCATGGTGGTCAGGATCATCTCAAGATAATTTCAGGCAATATTGAGCTGAATCCAACAAGTTGTGCAGGGAAACCATGATTACACAATCATATTACAAAATGGCCACCATGGCTGCCATATTAAACTTTTAACAAGGCAAAAATTAACAACAATATATCTGCTTATTTCCTTGACATTTCAGTTTTTTCAGCTGTATGGTGCTAGCAAAACTTTGCAAGAAGTTTAATATGTGTTTTCAGATGGCAAATAATGGGCCATACTGGACTTCGGATTGACCATAAAGATAAAAAATTTGGTCAGGACTATCTCAGGATGATAAATTACAGCTGAATCCCAATGGTGAAACCTAAGTAGAAGTTTTCAAAAATGACCTAAAAATTAATTTTGCCAGATCAGATAATTTTATATAATGTTTAAACTTACAGTACCAGTATGATAATGACAAAATTGATTATAATAGCCTTCTTACATGACAAAACTTTCAAAATACCTTTTTATGACCAATGTATTTTATGACTGAGTTGGTGACACTGGTACAAGTATTTAACAACTCTCAAACATCTACAATTCTCATCTATCTACATACAATGTCTAGGATACAAAGTTGTAGTCATTTTTACAAAGTTTTCTAGAGGTAAAGTATTTATATCTACATACCATGATGTCAGACAATTCTAACACTCTCTTTTTAACCAGGATGGTGCATGCCTCAGAAAACCTAGATCCACCATGTGATCAATGGCCTATTGTTAAATCTCAAACAATATTTTGATTTCTGTGAACAAAAGAACAGGTGTCTACCTGTTTGACCAAGACCTGCACTTGAAATTAACATCACTAACCTTGACATGTTTAAGAAACATACACCTTGTCTGTTTCATGACATCATCACCTTGACCTCCACAAATATGGGAGTTGTTTGAATACTTGAGGGATCAAGACACTAACATCTTTTTACCTACAATAGCAGCAAGATAGCATTATTAACCTTCGTCACAGTAAGGTCAGATGACATCAACAAACCTTGACCATGAGTTGAAAATATCCATATTGAATACTGTATAGACAATATTCAAATTTCCACATGGTTTTCATTCTTTCACTGAACTTTGACCTCTATAGATGAGGTATAGAAGTTGTTTGCAATGAGGTGACAGGTACAGATATGTCTCAACATCTAGATAAGTTGGACTTCAGCGCTGACCTTAACCTATTTTGTTGACCTACATCTCTCTTTGATTAGATGTCATCCTTGACCTCCACCTCTGACAATACTGAGTGAGGTATATTGCTAACCAGTGAGTCCCCGAGGTTGTTCCAAAGTTTGTACTCCATGCCAGTCAAATATTCTTGTACTGAAAAAAAATCCAGAAAACAACTTTATTATCCAAAGTATTCTAGTGTGATTACCTTATCAAGGGAGAATACAAATTTAACTTAACCGATGGTTCCCCACCTAAAACATCCAGATTAACAAAAATGTTAAATGTAAAAACATACCTAAGATTTTTTAAAAATATATTTGTCAATTTGATCACAATGTATACAAGGGTAAAGGGTTAGGCTTTCAGTCTTGTTACCTTAATTCACTCATTTCTTTAGATAGATTTTTTCTTCGAAAATAAAACAGATATTTTCCCCATACCATTGATGGAACTTCTCCTGGACTGAAATAGTTTGATGTGACGTACATTTGAACTCACAGAGCAACAAATTCTGTGTCAGAATAACTGAAACAAGAAATGCTTGACCTTGTGATTCTTTACATACCTGTGGTGAGTTTAAACTTCACATTGGGAGACACTTGTACTGACTTAGGGTCTATATGACATCCTGAATGAGTAAAATCTGGGACTTTGAAAAAGAGCTGAAAAATAAAAAAGAAAAGGAAAAAAAAATAAAGAAAGATATGAACTATCCTATATTTTATTCCAGAAAATTAATTTGGAAGTATACAAGTTATTTAAAAACAGTAAAACACAAGTTGCTCCAAACACCTCATACTAGGTAAATGAATCAATGAACTCTTGTTTGTTAGGGGATTTTTTTTTTCAAGCAAGGCCAAAAATAATTTCCAAACTGTTGATGAATCTCATTTCCATATTTATTGCTGTTCCGCTAATATACAAACCAGAGTTATATCATTGTTCAGTAATAAGCCCACCCTCTGACTTTGAGTCAGAAGCTATGTTTACACCCCACAGCAAATTGCATATTGATAAACACAGTACTTAGAGGATGAATTCTCAAAATCTGGTTGTGTCCCAAAGGAAAATCATGAGTCCAAGATTCGTACAGCTGGGTTTCAAAAATCATTAGTTAACTGTCTTGATATGGATTTCAAAATACTTACTTTAGCGTACGAGTTTTGTCCCACACAGAAGGAATCTTCATGAGCCCCTGGTGCTTTGTTGTCTGTGAAATTGACTGTAGCATTCAGACCTGCCATCAAGGACTTACTTGGGAATTTCTGACCTTTAAAAAGAAATGTATTTCACTCAGATAGCCCTACATATATATCGTACATATCTTATATATAATTAACAAAAAAGGAAACTCAACACTACAAAAATTTGTATGAAAGATTTCCATATGTTGCAGTCCATCAATATCCATAATGATATGAGTTATGAAATAAAGAAAATTACTGACATTATCTATTTTAGAATTGGCATCGTTAAACATTAAGTAAAAGAGGGAGGTAACTCCAGCACAGATTACAAATAGAAACAGTCAATAACACAATAAAAAAAGTTTACAATAGATCTGTTCTCATAACAAACTTACCAACATTCCAGACCAGTATCCGACGATCAGGGGAGACCATCACACTTCCCTGACTTGGCGTCGCATCATATGTCCCTATAGTTCCTCTGCATTACAAGATAACAGGTCAAAGGTCATATTTATATATATAAACTTTATATAAAGTATGGTGACATGATAAACTTTAAAAAAAAATTCAGTGCAATTTTGATTTTCTAGGCAGTAATGATGCCATCCAAATCATAGAGAGTTAAAACAATGAAATCAACAGATATTAGAAAGAATTTGTGTTTTCCTTTGAATGATACAGAGACACTTAATCATAAATGTCACTAGATTCTATTCACAAAAAATATTCAGCTAATGAATCCGACTTTTATGGCTACTGGTACAAACCTGTTGTAAAAAGGAATCTGTAGTTCACAATACTCCAGAGTATTTTTCACTCTTTCACTCATTTTTAACTTCACACTCAGTTTGGCGGTCTTTCCCTCAATCTGAAAAAAGCCAATACATTTCATTTAACATAAACTAATACAAGTTCAATGTATTTCACATTTCTTGATTTATGGAAACATATATCGTTAGAAGCTTTCAGTTGAAAATTGCTTTTAATTAATTAAAGTATTACCATGATTTTAAAAAAAAACCCCAAAAATCATTTAATTCTATAGCATCTGTGTTACAGAACATACATGTTGCTTGAAAAATTGTTGGTGACACAAATATGATTAGATGAAGGAAATCTATCATTTTAGGAAGACAGCGGGTACAAAATACAGATAGTCTGTTGAACTGGTAAGAGGTGTAGGGATCTACAAGACATTAATATGCTTTTAATCATTAAATGTTATGATCATACATAAAGAATACTGAGACTGAAACAAGTCCTCAGACTCGAGGGTTTGTGAACTATTACCCTCATTTCGTATGAGCCTTTTATGGGAACCTCCTTCAAACTGGACACAGTGTAATGGCAGAGAATGAACATCTCCGTTGGGGGTATAAATCGAACCCGTCGAGGTGTGGCTCGCATGTCTGATGGATCACCTACAAAGGCAATAAGACGAAATTTGTAGAAAAGTACAAAATATCATAAAGAGCAGATACACACTTTATATGATGCAGACAAGTTATCTATGAGGCTGGGCGAGGAAGTAAAGAAAAGACAGGATCAGTATACATTACAGTGAGACATATCATGATGAACTTATCTACCAAGAGTGTGGAAGTCTTATTCAATACTTTCAGCATCCCTTTATCCTAAAAATGAGCTGGAATATTATGCAAATACGTTGGAATGCCTTCAACAATGATCAACAGAGAAGTGATGTTGGAAGGCAAATGACTTTCATATTTTGAGTTATCAGCTTGAAATGAATTTCTTATCTTTTCACTTTTACAGAACTTGGTTACAACCTGAGAATTTCTCCTAATTCATTAAGTTTTGGTTATCTCTTTATCATGAGAACTGGTTTACCAACATGTGAACATCAACCCTCTACACTTCATGTATGTTAAAACATAGCTTTAATATATAATTACAAAGATCAACGGTCTAAGGGAGATAACTCTTTGATAAAACTATCCTTGGTTTTGATTATCGACAAACAATTTGAATTGAAACATTTGTATTTTAATAATGATTTCATCAAGAAATTAAATTAAAAAAATGAGAGTTTACAAGTTCTTTTAATTTCTCAAAAAGTATGTCTAATAAACATAAAGAATAATGTTCCTTTTAAAGAAATAAAAGAAAACATGGTTATACATGTAAAGAAGTGACCTACCCATGTTGATAGCCGTGGCATCAGCACTCTGTACACATGGGTGTATGATGAGATGGTCAAGGGGAAGATTGTTTCCGTCTGGAGTATGGGACACACTGAGTGTAATATCAGGCTGCGCACCCTCCAGTTCAGCCTTACAAGAGATTGACCCATATAGATCCCATACATCTGGAGTTCCTTCCTTGTTGTACTAAAGGTAATACAGATATACACACATTTGTAAATAAAGTAATTATGACTGGATATTTATATCACAATTTTAAAGATTATTCAAACTTTCTACACATTTTGTCTTTAAATATATCCACACAATGTACTACGTATACAAATTGTTGATAATAGTCATTTCAACAGTAATGTAACCGTAAGACTCAAACCTGTAAATGTTTGAATCTGATAGTATGTCACAATATGCAAGTCTTTACTATTTGGTAGTTTTTAGAACTTAGAAAAAACCATTGTTATTACAAGACTGGATGGACATCAGAATAGTCAAGACTATGGTGAGCATCAGTTTGTTAATGAATGATACAAAGCTATTCATGTCATGATATCCACCATACTGTATATATAGGAGTCCACTGACAACACTGTGATGTCCACACAATGTATATATAGGAGTACACTGACAACACTGTGATGTCCCTACACTGTATATATAGGAGTACATGGACAACACTGTGATGTTCCCACACTGTATATATAGGAGTACACTGCCAACACTGTGATGTCCCCACACTGTATATATAGGAGTACACTGACAACACTGTGATGTCCCTACACTGTATATATAGGAGTACATGGACAACACTGTGATGTTCCCACACTGTATATATAGGAGTACAGTGACAACACTGTGATGTCCCCACACTGTATATATAGGAGTACACTGACAGCACTGAGATGTCCCCACAATGTATATATAGGAGTACATTGACAACACTGTGATGTCCCCACACTGTATATATAGGAGTACAAAGACAACACTGTGATGTCCCCACACTGTATATATAGGAGTACACTGACAACACTGTGATGTCCCCACACTGTATATATAGGAGTACACTGACAACACTGTGATGTCCCCACACTGTATATATAGGAGTACACTGACAACACTGAGATGTCCCCACACTGTATATATAGGAGTACATTGACAACACTGTGATGTCCCCACACTGTATATATAGCAGTACACTGACAACACTGTGATGTCCCCACACTGTATATATAGCAGTACACTGACAACACTGTGATGTCCCCACATTGTATATATAGCAGTACAGTGACAACACTGTAATGTCCCCACACTGTATATATAGGAGTACACTGACAACACTGCGATGTCCTAAAACTGTATACATATGAGTAAGTAACAACACTATTATGTCCCCACACTGTATATATAGGGGTACACTGACAACACTGTGATGTCCCCACACTGTATATATAGGGGTACATAGACAACACTGTGATGTTCCCACACTGTATATATAGGAGTACAAAGACAACACTGTGATGTCCCTACACTGTATATATAGGGGTACATAGACAACACTGTGATGTCCCTACACTGTATATATAGGGGTACAAAGACAACACTGTGATGTCCCCACACTGTATATATAGCAGTACACTGACAACACTGTGATGTCCCCACACTGTATATATAGCAGTACACTGACAACACTGTGATGTCCCCACACTGTATATATAGGAGTACAAAGACAACACTGTGATGTCCCCACACTGTATATATAGGAGTACACTGACAACACTGTGATGTCCACACACTGTATATATAGGAGTACACTGACAACACTGTGATGTCCCCACACTGTATATATAGGAGTACAAAGACAACACTGTGATGTCCCCACACTGTATATATAGGAGTACACTGACAACACTGTGATGTCCCCACACTGTATATATAGGGGTACAAAGACAACACTGTGATGTCCCCACACTGTATATATAGGGGTACAAAGACAACACTGTGATGTCCCCACACTGTATATATAGGAGTACACTGACAACACTGTGATGTCCACACAATGTATATATAGGAGTACACTGACAACACTGTGATGTCCACACAATGTATATATAGGAGTACACTGACAACACTGTGATGTCCCCACACTGTATATATAGGAGTACAAAGACAACACTGTGATGTCCCCACACTGTATATATAGGGGTACAAAGACAACACTGTGATGTCCCCACACTGTATATATAGCAGTACAGTGACAACACTGTAATGTCCCCACACTGTATATATAGGAGTACACTGACAACACTGTGATGTCCACACAATGTATATATAGGAGTACACTGACAACACTGTGATGTCCCCACACTGTATATATAGGAGTACACTGACAACACTGTGATGTCCCCACACTGTATATATAGCAGTACACTGACAACACTGTGATGTCCCCACACTGTATATATAGGAGTACAAAGACAACACTGTGATGTCCCCACACTGTATATATAGGAGTACACTGACAACACTGTGATGTCCACACAATGTATATATAGGAGTACACTGACAACACTGTGATGTCCCTACACTGTATATATAGGAGTACATGGACAACACTGTGATGTTCCCACACTGTATATATAGGAGTACAAAGACAACACTGTGATGTCCCCACACTGTATATATAGGGGTACAAAGACAACACTGTGATGTCCCCACACTGTATATATAGCAGTACAGTGACAACACTGTAATGTCCCCACACTGTATATATAGGAGTACACTGACAACACTGTGATGTCCACACACTGTATATATAGCAGTACACTGACAACACTGTAATGTCCCCACACTGTATATATAGGAGTACACTGACAACACTGTGATGTCCCCACACTGTATATATAGGAGTACACTGACAACACTGTGATGTCCCCACACTGTATATATAGGAGTACAAAGACAACACTGTGATGTCCCCACACTGTATATATAGGAGTACACTGACAACACTGCGATGTCCTAAAACTGTATATATAGCAGTACAGTGACAACACTGTAATGTCCCCACACTGTATATATAGGAGTACAAAGACAACACTGTGATGTCCCCACACTGTATATATAGCAGTACAGTGACAACACTGTAATGTCCCCACACTGTATATATAGGAGTACACTGACAACACTGTGATGTCCACACACTGTATATATAGCAGTACACTGACAACACTGTAATGTCCCCACACTGTATATATAGGAGTACACTGACAACACTGTGATGTCCCCACATTGTATATATAGGAGTACACTGACAACACTGCGATGTCCTAAAACTGTATACATATGAGTAAGTAACAACACTATTATGTCCCCACACTGTATGTAGTTTAACTGTTTATATTCTGTAACATGCTTAATACTCATGTTTACTGAAACTAAATCAATAGAGTTTAATCTTCTAAATTGATTGTATTTTTTTCATTTAACATATTTATATGTTTACAGAACATAAACTCCTTGATAATTCTATAACCCAAATCTGACCTTATTTAGAGGGAATGTAGCTGAATGTGTTACCTGGTTAGCACGGATGTACTCAGTGACTGTGAGGTAGACTTGGTTCTTCCCCCTGTGTAGTACGGGCTTCCAGGCGGGTTGCTAGAACAGACGTCAACAATGTCAACAATTATTACACTTACAACTTCTAATAATGGACAAACAAATCCAAACATCAACATAATTTTGTTAAAGAATTGCATGAAACAAAGTACATACTTCCAACACTTAAATAATGATAGAAGTGGCTGGAGAGAATTACTTGACTACCTAAAGTTTTCTAGTTCACACATACTTACATACCTTCTGCGCTTTTGATAAGAGACTGGGTTTATTTTGCACTTTAGACATCACTGTGTCAGAATTAACATCCACAGGTTTTCCAAAGGGAGCAGCAGTGTTCAGATACACATTCAGAAGGCTGCTTTTCAGTGCAATCTACAACAAACACAATGATAGCTTATAAATGATCTTTTCACAGATTTTCACAGTTAAGGAAGTCCATCAGTTATTGAAATCAAAAAGAATTCTACTACTGCAACAAGTCCTCATAATGGTCACCTTTACAAAGTAATTTTTGTAAAATATTACCATAGACCTTTATATAACACTGGGGGAACAGGGTTTAATTCCCCTTATGGATGTGAAAAGGCAATGAGGTCATCTGCTTGACAACGAAAGAGTAAAATTTGTCATAAATGTATAGAACACACAAAACTGGTGATTTCCTTTGAATCATCCTCAGTCTAAATATTCAGGAAAAACATCACTTTGACTAAGTTATGACAAATAAAAAAAGATTTGGTAAAATCAAAACCCCTTCCTACTTTTTCAGGTAAGAGTACAATAGAATTTTCATTTGCTTTCACTTATCATTACCGGTAAGTATAAAGAGCCTGGTAATAGATACATACATCGCCCGCTGTATACTGGCGCAGATAATCTGACAATCCACACAGTAGAGAAAAGCCAAGAGTGACACCAGGACTGTAGGGACAGAAATTCAATCATTGTTAATAACCAAACTCAATTCAAGCTCTACTTACATCTGTTTGAGTGTCTACTTACATCTGTATAAGTAACTACATACACCTGTGTGTGTCAACTTACATTTGTGTAATGTTTACTTATCAACATCTACTTATTCATGTGTAAATGTCTACTTACATCTCAATATCAGTGTCTACTTAAATCTGTTTAAGTGTTTACTTACACCTGTGTGAGTGTCAACTTACACCTGTATTAATGCTTTTATACACCTGCACAAATGTATACCAACACTGCAAAAAGTGTCTAATTACACCATTAGAGTGTCTTCTTATACATGTGTGATGTCACCTAACACATCAATGAGTGTCTACCTAAACCTGAATGAGTGTTTACTTACACCTTTGTATACATGTAGCGTTTACTTACACCTTTGTATATATGTAGCGTTTACTTACATTTGTACAAGTGTCAACCTATACCATGAGAACAAATGTCTACTTACACCTGTATTAGTGACTACTTACACCAAAATAAGTATTTACTTACACCTATATATGTGTTTACTTACATCTGTATGAGTGGCGGTCTTGTGCTGGCACCCTGAGTCACCAAGGGGAGACAACAATACACAATCCCTCTCTGTAACAGATGCAAAAAATATAGTTACACAACACATTTAACAAATCTGCTTTCATTTGCAATATATGCAACCTATATATTACCTAAATGAAAAAAGATTATAAATTTTTTTTCCTATGATATGATAAAGCTTGTGCACAAGATGAAGAAATAATACCTGTTCGACTACAACAACCGGCCATATTGGTCCCCCACTAGTCATCACCTCGTAAACAGGTTTCTGTTCAAACTTCTCACATGTGTCCCTGGCAGTGATGAACTGTGAAAACAGAAAGCAATATAAATATGAAAAGTCAAAGGCAACAAATTAAAGAAAACATCAAAGGATTTCTTTCCACATCTTTATATCATAATTGTATTCAACCCTTAAACTATAACCAAAAAGCAATAATAATAACAACTTTACATTAGCCCTAACAAAAACTAAGAGGAAAGTAGGATTATTTGTATTTTTGATATATAAAATATGTATTTTTTACCTTATCAATACCATCCTTGTGGCCAAGCTCGAACAACAATCCATTGATAAAGTCAGGGACAGTGGGAATGGCAATGTAGTTGTCTTTCTCCAGCAATTTCACTTTCTTTTCAACAAGTGGAAAGTGCCTATTTGTGAAATAAGGCATTAATTATACAGTATATTAGTGGTGAATCAGTTTTAATTTTACTTTTATTTCTCTTTTTGAACTATTGATAATCGAGTATAATAGATGATTTTGCTGGGCAAGTTTATTTTCTATAAATGTGAAATTCCTACTCGCTGGCTAGTAACTAATTGTTTATGCTACATGTGAATTTAGTACAGTAAGATCTGAATAATCCACGGTACACAGTGACTTTCATATATCAACAGAGACTTATCTAGATATTAATACTATTCTTTTTAATTTATACTAAATGTAAGTCTGTAGTTATATGCATTTTCAACATCATACAGTGACACTTAATTCTGTGCCCTAATAGAAATTGAACTTGGGTCTCTAATGTGATAATGCAGAGCTCAAGTAAATGCTCCGTCCCATGGGTGACTGAGGATGTATTTAACACAATGTACAAGTCACACTTTCACACTTCTTCCCCTGTTTTTCTTGAGATTTTCTTCATAACAAGCCAAGATTCTATATACTGCAATCGGTAGGATTTCAAATTTCTCATTGAACCCCAATGTAATAGAATAGGAAAAGAAAAAAAATCCCTACTGAAGGTTCCGACCGGAATCAAACCATGATTATCATAGGTCTACCAACCCAGCTACTAAAGCATGCTCCGTCAGTTGAGTGACAGATCAAAGCCCCCCGATCTGCTCCTTTCACAAATCAATATTGCAAGTTTGTTCATGTCAAATGCATATTGTCATTACTTAAATCAAACAGTTTACACTTATACAGCAAATGAAGTTCATCAAATATCATCATATTTTGAAATGATAACATTACAACATACAATATACTACATACTTACCTAGAGAAAAGCAGACGCCTACTTTCACTTTGATCAGGGTGGGCACTTTTGATTGAGAGGATCCAGAGACCTCGAATGCTCATGATGACGAAAAGCACGTTTTCGAAAATTCTTCATCGAGTATAACAAGCATATTTAAACGTAAACGAACCCATCGTCTGTCCACGATAAATACGCACTGACGATCCTTCCATCGACCTACATGATTGCCTTAAATAATAAAGTCCACGGTCGGTCAGGAAAAGATCATGTAAAGTCGGGTGTTAATTTTCGTATTTTAACTTTTCTAGAACATGGACGAACTAGATACAAAAATGACATCACGTTTTCTTTATTTAAAATCAAACAAATAATTTGAAGTTGCAATATGGTCTGTGCTGCAGCTGTGCTGTTCTTTTATAAAATATTTATTGATTTTCCCCTGTGGAAGGTAAACGGTGGCAAAATATTCTATACCCTCCTAAAAAAGGTCCGACGTCATACTCATGCTATTTCAATTTCGACATTCTTTGGCTGGCTATAAAGCCTCTATCATTATAGATATATATATTTAAAATATAGCTTTTGATTTAGAGAGAAAATATCGCATAAATTCGGGCAAAACACTTTTCATGTGATATATATTTATGGTATTTATTCTCGCGACACCGCTCAATCTCTAAGACACCGACACGGAAGTGTAAATAAAGCGTTCCAAAGCTACGTGTGTGGACTCGTGTGCGGACGTGACCGACAGTTTGTAGCTTATTTGCTTCGCAATGTCGGAGCAAGACGCTACAGCTGGTCCTCCTGCTGGAGGGGGAGATTCTCCATCCCCAGGAGACACTGGTTTGCGAAAAAGAAAGGGCAAACAGAAGAAGAAAGATTCTAACACGGAGAGCCCTGCACATGATCAGGAAGAAAGCCAACCGAATCCTGTTCAGCAGCCACAAGTATTGCCACCACCACAGGCTAATGAAGATATCGTTTATGTCCCGGCTAACAGAATTGTCTTTGCTGTTCCAAAATGGTTGTTAATTTTGGTTACAACAGTATCTGGCATATTTTTTGTTGGGTTTGGAGGTTACATGGGAGATGTTTTATGGAAAAAATACTATGGGATAAATGAAGGTTATGGAGACAGTGTTATTGATGCTGTGAAAGTTTCAATAGGAGAAGAGGCCACAGAATTGTTCCTCAAATTTGACATCGATAAAGATCAGAAACTGTCAATTGAAGAATATGAAGCATTGTATCACAGATTGGCAGGCAGCGGATTCAATGTGAGTACTCGATATACATGTATCTAAATGTGTATTGCGTAATACCTCATGTTGAACTTATTTATTGTTTCTACTCAATGTTGCCAACCTCTATTCATTTAATTTCAGGTTATGTTTTAAAAGGTCATTAAGCAACTATCATATTTTCATGTATTTACATGATGTTCTTTCTTATGTTTGAACATGGTTTTGACTATAATAGATAAAAAAAAACAGGTTTTAAAAATTAAAAACATATAAAAACGCTTCAGATGTTTCTAAGTTTTTTTCTCTCTCAACTTAAGCAGTTCCTGATATTGGCCAATATCAGGTTGATCTTGATAAAATTGAGTGAATTGTTGACACTAAAACTAAATATATTTTATCCAAAACAGTGTGATGTGTACAAACAGTTTAAGAAAATAATCATAATTTGTTTGTCCTTGGTGAAATACAGGGGTTCCTTCATAATATATCTGAAAATAATTAAAAGATTTAATTCAACAAATTGATCACCTAATAAGGCCTGAACCTTTTCTTACTTTTTTACATTTTTTTTTTCATTTTTCAAATTCTAATTTGGTTCTATATTTAACAGTGCATTGGTTATTGAAAGCCACATGGGTCATACATGTAGATTTCCTCCAGTATTCTTGTTTTATAGTGGAAATTGCTTCTTCTTATGTGTTACTAAATTGTACCTATACCTAGGAAATACATTGAACCTCACTGAATCTAGAAGGACACTTTACCTCCCACAATGAACCTCACTGAATCTAGAAGGACACTTTACCTCCCACAATGAACCCCACTGAATCTAGAAGGACACTTTACCTCCCACAATGAACCTCACTGAATCTAGAAGGACACTTTACCTCCCATAATGAACCTAACTGAATCTAGAAGGACACTTTACCTCCCACTATGAACCCCACTGAATTCAGCAGGACACTTTACCTCCCACAATGAACCTCACTGAATCTAGAAGGACACTTTACCTCCCACAATGAACCCCACTGAATCTAGAAGGACACTTTACCTCCCATAATGAACCACACTGAATCTAGAAGGACACTTTACCTCCCATAATGAACCTCACTGAATCCAGCAGGACACTTTACCTCCCACAATGAACCTCACTGAATCCAGCAGGACACTTTACCTCCCATAATGAACCTCACTGAATCCAGCAGGACACTTTACCTCCCACAATGAACCTCACTGAATCCAGCAGGACACTTTACCTCCTATAATCTGAATGATTGTCATCGGTGTTATTCAAAATGCTATTTCTCCCAATATCTACAAGTACATTAGATAATCTAAAGACTATTATTCACCTCAAAAACTAAAAGGCAATGTGGTACCTTTGTTAAACTACAGGCAATCCTGCTAAAATTCAACAAAGTGATCCCTTTCAGAATCTAAGTGACAATGCTCGTGTTAGGAAAGGAAATAGTTTGTTTTATTTTAGAGGCCTTGCTCCCTTAAACTGAAGGAAAGATTCATGAAAACTACATGTGAAAAGACTGACATAAGAAAAAGGAAAAAAAATAAAAATCATTTCATGATGTGTACACAACTTGGGTACAAAATTTTCAGTTTTGATCAAAACAACTACAATGTACCAGTAAAGATATATTAATCGCACACTGACAGCTCAAGGTCAAAGGTCATTAAGAGTTTTTCAGTTTCATTTTTAATTAAATCAATAACTAGTAAAGGTAGATAAACAGTATACTTGCAGCTCAATGTCAAAGGTCCTTTTTAAATTTTTTTAGTTTTGTTCAAAACGATAACCTGTAAAGATAGATAAATAGTACAATAGTTCAAGGTCAAAGGTCATTTGAAGGTCATCATCATGTGCTATTCATTGATCAGATCTTCAATATACGTGACACATATCATGTATCTCTGTTCCAGACAAACTTGGTGATTGGGCAATTTAAAATATGTGGCCACAACTCACAAAAAATCCTTTAAATAAGTATTCGGAATTACTTGGAATTCCAAAATGAAAATCATGCTTAAACATTTTTTTTTTTAGGCTAAACTTACAGTTTCAGTCTTTGGAACTAGCTGTTATTCCTATTAACCTAGCTCTCAGCTGATTAGTGGAAATAGTCCAACAGATTATCAGTGATACCTGTTGGCAGTCGTGTGCTATAAACAATGCTTCCATCTTTCAAAACCATGTCATGCATGTGTACTCTTGTTTTGTATTGATATTGGAATATCTAATTAGAAAATTTACAGCTGACAACTCATCTAGATTTTTTTCCTTGAAATATCTCATTTGAAAACTTATAGGTAACAACTCAACCAGAATTCAAACAGGTCATTGATGACGATGATGAGGTGATCACAGTGAGATCCCACTTCAAACCACTGGTACTGGAGACAATGACCAAGGATTTGGATGAGACCGTGAGTAAAATGCTGCAGAGAATCAACAGTTTTAGATTGTAGTTTGAACTATGTACAGAAAGTTAAACAAAGAATTAATTAAATAAGATGTTCTTGTAATCACAATAGTATCTTGACAAAATTAGGTTCTCGATAAAATTTACAGATGTCTTAAATGTTTATTGCAACTACCAAAGTAATCTATTCTGCTATAAGCCCGGGGGCCCAACACTTTTTGTTGCTCAAAAAATGTTCAATTAAGGTACTGTTGAGGAAAATACAATTTCATATCATAGTTTGAAAGAAATTGGTTGGAAACTGAGAGATAGATCTGGGCAAGGTTAACATTATCAGTTAAACAAATGACTGTATATACAGTGAAATCAAACGGCCAATTAGGAAAACACTACTGTAGGTCATGATGATTAAGCCTACCAAAGTTGAAAGAGATTGTTTAAAACAATAGAGGGAGATCTCTGCAAAAATTGAAGTTTACAATGGACAACACCATACCATGATACAGCTCATAAAATATTTCTGACATGACTGAAAACAAAGCTTACATAGGAATTTTTAAGGGTTTCTTCAGTATCACTATTATTATTCAATAATATTTTCCAATGTTGCAAAGAAAATACCCCATATTTTCTTGTAATAAGTACAGGCCTATACATTATTCATTGCACAGAGTTAGGGAATAGCTTATTACATGACAATGAATTAATATTGGTGCATAAATTTACTGAAATACAATTATACAAAGGATGGGCTTATTATCAGGTATGGATTTATTGCTGAACAAAATGGAGGATTGTTTCTCATGTTATTATAAACCTAAAAGGTTGTATAGATGTGGAGTATATATTGAGTAAGGCGTTTATATCGGCCTGTGTGGTTGGAAGCTGATACAAATACCGGTATATACTGTTACCTGTGCTGACATGTATTGACAGTAAACCAATCTTTTGTGAACTTAGACTAAATTACTGATAAAATTTACTAAGGATGGGTACATAGTCCCATAGTCAGCACATTCTATCATTTAGCATTTAACATTATTAAACAAAATAATGAAATGTCAAATTTGAATTTTCTTTATGGAAGGTGTCTGTCATCTTGATATTTGACCAGTGGCATGTTTGTTTAAACATGTTGATGAAAAATTATCATGTTTCTCAACCTGAGGATAGATTATCAAGTTGCCAAACACAAGTCTTGGCGAGTGTTTGACAGCTAATCAATTTTCCCTGAGGACTGAGATCCCACTATCTCACCCTAAAGGAGGTGAATCATTATTTTTCACCTTTTCTGTTTTCCTTGTTTGAGTGCAAGACAAAGTGTATTGTGTTTAAACAATAAAATGTGGATAGGGTATGAATAGTGATGAGTGATATGTGATGTAATCTCACACAAAATTTAATTCTAGTGTAAATACAAATAAAACAGCATATAAGATTATTCTCTTGATATTTTACACATATTTTTAGGTCATCTGACCGAAGGGTCTGATGACCTATTGTGATCGCCTTTTGTCCGGCGGCATCCGTCGTAAACATTTTCAACTTCTTCTCAAGTTCTGCATGTCTCATTGAGCTGAAATTTACCTGAAATGATCGTAACATGAACCTGACCAAAGTTTGTTAATTTTGGGTTGGTCCGAAATCCAACATGGCCGTCATGGCCACCATCTTGAAAACACATTTTCGACTTCTTCTCAAGATCAAAATTTGAAATCTTGTGTTTAATGTCAGATGACCGTTAAGGCCCGTGGGCCTCTTGTTAATATTGTGTTGTGGATTGAATGAATTTCAATCTTAATGATAATACATGTCTTTAATTTTGAGGGTAACATAAGATTTCAGTAGCAGATGTGTATTTGTCTTACCTAATGAAAGTAGTTCCACTTTCGGGTACACCAATGTGGGTTTACCTGACCAGGGTAAGAGAAACATTGTGCTACCATTTCTTTTCAGTATGTTGGTGGTGGACTTGATGCTCTGGCTGGACTGAAGGGATGGACAAAACCTAACATTGAGTGGACCAACCTTGGTGTCAAACATTTCAAGTCATTCTTCCCTAAGAAAGAGATTCAAATGTCCAGTGTGGGAGATGTGTACTTTATCTATCAGAACAGCCCAGGTATTCATGGTACAAACCACATGTCCAGTAATCGGTACTACCCCCCACAGCTGGAGGAAAGTCTTGTTGTTATTCATCGCATGCTCAACATGTTCCATGCTCGTCCATTTCTCAGGAACCGCTTCCCTCCTCAAGGAGCTGTGGCATGTGTTCGGGCTTTTAATGATGAATATGTTGACATAGCTTTCAGGTATAATTTAATATAAATGATTTTTTTTTTCTGGTAAAATGATGTTAATAATTTTTAGTGTAACTGGTAAAATAATGTTCAATGTCTTTCGTAAAATCATTTTTAGTGTAACTGGTAAAATAATGTTCAATGTCTTTTGTAAAATCATTTTTAGTGTAACTGGTAAAATAATGTTCAATGTCTTTTGTAAAATAATTTTTAGTGTTACTGGTAAAATAATGACTAATGATGTCTAATTATTTCTCCAATTTATTATTGGTAACTTAGCTTCCTATTTCTGAAGCGATAATATCTTACATTTCCAGTAAAATGTTATTGATTATAAAACAAATGCCCCGTGTTAGAATTCAACATTGTTACATGACCAAGTTGATCTCTCAGTGCAGGTGCGCACTATATAAAGGAGGATTTTAAGGGCAGGTTTTACTATTTATCTATAACATACATGCTGGGTGATCTGTGACTCATCAGTGGTAATGTGCACACTGTCATCTAGTAACCAGGATTAAACTCCACAACCAATCAGTATTCCTGTTCTCTTGGTATTCTGGTTTTCTCCCAGTTACCCCCAGTAATAATATCTGTTTCCCACTTGTATCCACGCTAACAAGAGTGATTAATATCAGTTGATTTGTCATTTGTCATGATTTCTTTTTTACCTCAGAATTCATGGAGAGTTCCAGCTGAATGAGCCGCCATTTTATCCATTTTGGTATACACCCGGACAGTTCACAGGAAATTTGGTGATATCACGGGACCGCAAACGGATCTTACATTTCCATATGTATGTGCCCACAGAAAACAAGCTGAATATAGGTAAGAAAATTGTTCCTACAAGTGGAATGGTGGAAAACATTTGAATAATATACCATTGTTTTGTATGTAGAAATCAGTGGAAGTTGAGATATTAGATCAGATGAAAATAGAATAATACTGTACATTGATTGCTTGTTTTTATCTTATTTCACTTAAAAAAAAAGAGAGTAGTTTTAGCAGGCAGTTTTTAGTATTCAGTCATCAAGGATGAATATATAATTGAAAAATTCCAAGATTTATGATTGAAATGTTTGATCATCTGAAAGTGACACAGATCTCTATATTTTGATGATTTTGTCATCTTTGAACAAACCTACTTTTTAGATTAAAAGTAAAATAGTGTTGAATGTTGTGTAATATGTATAACAGTGGAGTCTGAATGTCGGGTAAATAACTTGAATTTAATGCAGTTATATTTCAAAAGTTTTCAGGAAATTCCAATACTTCTGCAATGCTGAATGTAAAGCAAATAAATGTAAAGTTAATATATTATCATTTCTAAACAGTGTTGCTTGATTAGAAATCTTCCATGTTTATTTCATGCGGATTATTTTCTTTTAATTCGACCTGCCATTAGATATTTAAAAATTATTTTTTGTACTGTACAAAGGAAATTGCAGAATCTTGTTTTTGTTTTGTTTTTTCAGAAATGCATTTTGATGTCTTTCTTGAAGAAAATGAAATTTTTTTCATATGTAAAACAAAATTTTGAAAATTAACCACTTGTAAGATATCTTTGGAGTTGCATTAGAAAACAAATATTTTAAAATTGGTTTGGAATTTCAGATATCAATAAGCAGTGAGAAATTTTAATATGCTAACAATTTATTTTTAAAAAGTAATAAAATGCATTAACCTTTTGTAGATATGGAATGGCTAAACGGACCACTAGAAGGAGAAAATATGGAGGTCGATATTGGCTTTCAGCCACAGATGGAGATTACGATTACAGCTCCATCTGTACCTCTTACTGCTGAAAATTTGGAATACCAAAAGGACTTGGAAGTTCAAGCTGACAATACCATGGAAGACAAGGTCAAGAACATCAAATGGAAAGGGGAGATAACTATGAGAGAGGCCAGGAAAAAGATGGAGGTGAAGATGTATCCATTCAAACAGGTGAGATCATGCTAAATAAAATTTGTTAACTTTTTTTGTGATATCGTCTTTTTAATTTATTATTTTATTGTTTATCTTTTAGGATACAATAAAATCTCCAAAAGTAGATATCTTGACAAGGAGATCTGTTTATAAAAAGAAGAGTTTCGTAATGACTAAGGAAAAATACATTCCTTTTGCTCAAAAGTTTCAGTTAAACTGTAAAATTTTGAATCATTGAAATAAACAACAGTACTGTATAGCATATATTGTAAATAAACATAACAATGATTGGAAATCACATTGATTCATCAATTTAGATAATACTAAAATTAAACAGTGATGTTTCATTAACTGAAAACCTTTTAGGTGGAATACTTCAACTTCACCCAGTCGTTTGAGAAAGCAACAGAGGAGAAGAAGCTGGTGCATTCCATATTACTTTGGGGTGCACTAGATGATCAAAGTTGCTGAGGTTCCGGGCGGACTCTCAGGGAGACTTCCCTGGAAAGTCCGCCCGTTGTCTCTCTCCTTCAGGAGAGTTTCATTAGCAGTTGGTTCCTCATCGCTGATTTGAAGGTAAACCAGAAACATTATCTTTGTCATTGTAACTGATTTCTGATCAGGTACTTACTAACAGAGGTTTCAGAAGATGGTCCTTGTTTCTGACGATTCCTTCAAAAATCCCAGGGAGCCAAAATACATGTACAAATCCTGATTCAAAGTATGATGGTGGGCCTATTACAAGACAATGAAAAAGCCTTTGTAGTTAATTTTGGTAAATACTTATAGGAGTGGGCTTATTACTGGATAGAAGTTGTGAGAATCATATCACATAAGTGACATTAATATTTGATAGTTTTTCGTGTTAATTTTTTTCCTACCATCAGCTGAAATTATGTTCATCATGTCCAGAAAAAAAAGTCTTGCAAGGCAGAAGACAATTGGATCTCATATCTTTTTGCAGGATCTTGAAAAAGATACTCATCAGCCAGAGGTTAGCAAGGCTGCTAAGCATTTTCTGTCAAACTATAAATTTCCTGTAATGATGATAGTGTCTCTTCCCAACGGCACCATCATCCACAAGGTCAATGCCAACGAGTTTATGGAGGAAGACGCACCCATCTCCTCCGTTATAGAGTATGCGTAAGTATTCTGCTTTGGTCAATATTGTATGGTGAGGGTTGATAAATCCATGTTTCAGCTTCATCTAAAGTCAATAGCTGTAAATGAGAGGGGTGATACATGGACTTATTGCAGGTAATAGAATGATAGTGTTTTTTATGGGAATGACATTAAATAGATAGTACATAGACATAATTTAACAGTAAATAAATAGTACATAGGCATAATTTAATGACAGGATATATAATACATGCATATGTAGCCTGTTTTAATATAAAGTAAATATGAAGTGGAGAATTTTGGGAGAACATTTATACCTACAATTACATCAGCATACCATTTTGTACAGGTCAAATGGCAATATCAAAATTGTAGAAAAACCATTAAGTATATCTCATACATTTCATTTTTGAGACATCAATGAAGTAAAAATTCATTGCATTAGAAAAACCTGTCAATTCTTATTGTAAATTTTTTGTACCACACTTGAAGAAATTTATAATGCTTGATAATGAGGCTGCACACCAATTTTAATTTGCTACCCCAAAATATTGCTTTGTGCTAGTACTGGTCAATTGCTTATCATTGTGTTATTCAGTTACTCCTTCAGTGTATTTTAGGTTGTGTGCAAAATATAGGGGAACAAAATGGGAAACATATTGCATTCTGTTTTTCTAAAATAGGAATAATTGCATGTTTACATTTTGTTTGATTAGTTGACTACATTCTGATATTATCGCCGATGTGTTGATGGTCATTCTAACTTGATGGTATTAAGTGTAGCTTCCTTGTGGTTCATTTTCCAAGCAGCAAAGTTATTATAACAAAGAAGTATTCTCTGTCCTACCATGCCAGCTTTATCAAAATAAGCAGGATTCTTAGAAAGGAAACTTACACATGATCAGCTTTATTGTATAAAGATTTTACAAATATGATTTTATTCAGTTTTTAAAATATTAATACCAAGCTACTAACTTGATCTCAAAGTTTTATTAATTTTGCTAACATTGGTGAAATAAAAACTAATTGATGTAGCATGTATTTATTATATGGGATATTTTTAACCATACAAGTGTAGCAAGTGACATATAATATCATACTCCTAGATTTTAACTTTCTTTTAGCCATTTTGATACTTACAAGTCTTGACTTTGACATCATATCGTAAAAGTTTTCTCTCCGTTTGCAAACTGTTTTTGACAGTTTTGTTATTAATATTCTACAATCTGATGACAAGGATGTATTTGTAATTTACCTGACAGTTTTCCTTGCATCTAGTTTTTCTATTCTATCATATTTCATATCAATATTTATAGATTAACTAGTTAACAGCTCCTTTCTATAAATCAGCATCTGTCTAGTAAATAATCTTTGAATGTTTCTTCTATATTTCTTTAACATAGAAATGCAGTCAATTTTCTAATCATTTAATTCTACATGTAAATGAAAAGATATTGAAGGCATAAATCCAGCTTTAAAAGTTTATATTGATTTTTTGCTTTAAATGCATCTAAAAATCATCCATCAAATAGCTGATATCTTAAAACTGTCAAATTGAGGGGATGTAACTCTTGGGAATCCTGGAAAGGTGCTGACATGTTGTCAACTCGAAATCCGTTCCTGTTTATCTATTATTTTGGTCTAGAACAGTATTATGTTTGAGTGTGCTTAAAAGGGAAATGAATCACAAAATACCAGTAATATATGCTATGTATTACTAATACTCGGTGAAATGTTGATATAAATCAAAATTGGTATTCACATAGTGATGTGTTATTTTCAAATTTTTTTAATTTGACAAATTTTTAACTTCAGTGATAAAGATTAGATAGCATTTTCACCTTTGAATGTAGAAATAAAAGTATTCTTAATTTGCCATATCTGGTAGTTTAGTTGGTACTGGGTGGTGGTCATGGGTTTTTTTTAAGGACGGAGGGACCAATGCATGGCTTTAATTCACATACTTCCAGGGATAAAAGTGATGTAGTTGAAACAGCACCATATGGCAAAATATTTGGCACACGACGTATTGGAGGGAGTGCTAGTAAAGATGAAGGAAGCAAAGAAATACCGGAGGAAGAAGAATTAAAGGATGGGTAGGTATTAGGATGCAGTTTAGCCCTGTAGATTTAATTATTATGAATAAGTACAAGTTTGTCACTTAAAGAAAAAAATGTCAAGCAGGGTTTTATAGTTAGATAAGTTTATAAGTTCTAGAATTAACTGCTGATCAGCTATTTTTTTCAAGAGACTTAATATAAATTAAATGGTAAAATCACAAGAATAGCAGTTGACATTGAAATTCTTCAGAATCCATGAATCCCTTTCTCAACAAAGGTGAAACAATAAATCATTTCATGTCTGTTTCTTATATCTTAATATCAAACAACAAACATATCAATCAAAGTTAAATTGGACAATTAAAAAAAATGTCACAAGAAAGTTTGATTGTTGAATCATATGATTCTTTTGCTTTAAACTGCATGTGACAATATGAGAGACGGAAGCATGCCAGGCTTGGTGCTTTACAGGAAACATGATATGTATAAAAAGCATGATGCATTGTGCTCATCAATGAAACATTTATATATTTAGTTGCAATAGTATGTGCTGTAAATCACTTTTGATGGCTTTAACCTGAACTTTGATATAGAATCACTGGATTATCTATAGACACACACAATTAAAATCACGATTAGATATAATGCTTTTGGCACTATTGCTTTCTCTGTAAGGTGTAGTGTGTTTTACAGGTTTGCCTTGTACTTATCTTTTAAACTTGTATACAGTATTTGAAATAAATTGTCCAAAAAAGAATGCAATTGTTCTAGGAATTTGAACATCTTACTGAATACAATACTGATTCTAGGCTTATAGGTTAATATCTTAATATCTGCTTTGTTTCGTAAAAATGAAGATATTCTAAAGGAGAAGAATGTCACCCATTGTAGTTCTGTAGTGGAAATCTTTACAATTATAGCACTATGATAGGTAATGTTCTGGTTTTGAGATACTGATCTGGTATAGTCAATAGTAGCTTTTTAGATCTGGATTACGGTACCCAGAAGCTTAGACAAAGTGCTAGATATACTGCCATTACTGCTTACCCATCATAAGTGTTGTAACAGGTATGTTCATAAGGTCAAAGACTAGCTGTAGTACATTACAGCCCTTACCATTAGTTTACTCTCTACATACACCCAACATAGGCAAGTATATCCAGGTGTGCTAAGGTATATATCCGTATGTTTATCCATCTGTCTGCCTGTTTCTTCTACTTCTTTGTTATATAAAGATTTTAATGAAACATTAATTTATTTCCAGTTAAGATTGACTATCAAATATAATTTACTGTCAGATTTTAGAAAATTAGTTGTTTGTATGATTTTCTTCTGTTTTTGAAACTTGTTGAATCACTGGAATTCGTCATAAGAGTCTACAGATGAGAAATGTTGTTTTGGCCTAGGTACTGGCTAGTAATGTCTGGGTTTACAGAATTTTACAGTATTTTCACATGGTACTATGGCATTTGATGCTGAGAATGGTATTGGAAAAGATTGCATGAAATTGGTTATGGAATTTTTTTAAGCATGTTACACTTGGTGATGGAGGTATGTTTTCCCGTAGCACTTCTGTATAGATTGTGTCATTTAAGGTAAAGGTCGGCTAACAGCAGGTCAACATTTCCAGTGAACTGTTTTTGATGGGATGGACTTATAAACTGGAAAAAAAATGTAAATTAGTACTGTGTTTTTGTCCAAAAAATGAGGTTATAATGTTAATGGTGTTTTGTTATTTAGGCTATTTAACAGAATATTGTTACATTCTCACATTCGACCTCAAGAAAAAGATAAAATGGCCATGTCCAATGTGCAATAAACATTTCATTGAAATAAAATTCTGTAAACTGTATGATATTTTGATGTGAAGTGACCCTAATTACAAGTTCCTCTTTCACCCTTAAACAGTCCTTATAGTGTTTGAAGTGCATATATATATGTAGCCTTGGTATGAAATGGTCAGATTAAAATGGTTTTTTTCACAGGTGATCTCTTAATATAGGTGTTCTCTTTACACAGTTGATCTTTCAATAGAGGTGATCTCTTTACACAGTGGATCTTTCAAAATTGAAGGTTCCATGTGCTACACCTTGTGGATAAGATGAGACAAGTTTGATTCTTGATGTACATCAAATAGTTTTTGTGGTTGTATAACAGTAAGTTGTACTGGCTTTGAAGTCGGGAGTTGCTCCTTTGGTATCAGTCTGTGATTGGTCCATTTTTAACTCCAGAAACCTGCTTTTGCCAATCCAAGTTACTTCCCTTGTGCCTTCAATTTTGCTATGAAATGTTCCAAGGGTGCAGAGATTAATAGTGAGTGTAAACCCTGGAATATCCTGGCTGGGCTTCGTCTACTTTTCATTCCTCATTTCCAGACGTAGTCTGACTGACATTTTCTATGACTTTTTCTGTTATTCAGGTTCCAAGATCGCCATACTACACAATACATGAAGTTTTTGAAAGAAGGTCTACGTCGAGCAGAGCCATATGTTGACCAGTTGTCCTAAAAATCCAGAAGAGTTGAAGATTCATTCATCATTGATCCTGAGGCTCTGATTAGAACATCATCATAGGAATCGTCCACATCATTCATCACATATCTTAAAACCATGACAGAATATTTAAACCTGAGTGTGTAAAAGTGACATTCATTTGTAGTTTTTTTATGTGTTTGAATGTAAAATGTTTGAAACATTTTTATGGTAAAAAGATACTTTTTAGTATTGTTTGAAAGTGTGAAATATGTAGTTTGATATAGTTTTATAGAATGTAAAGTAACATGCATTTATTAAAAGCTAAAAGGGTTTTTTTCCCATTTTTTTTTTTTACTAAATACATATTAACATTTCAATTTGAATGAAATTAATATTCATGCAGTTTTACTCCAAAAAAATCTGAATACCAAAATTGTTCCATGTTGAGCTTAAAAAGTAAAAAAAAAGATCTGTGTTGTTCATGATGACTCTATATCTAAAAACAAATTGTTGAAAATGTTAGATTTCTTATAAAAAAGTGTTAGATTTCTCACAAAAAAAGCATTAGATTTCTTCTAAATTGCTTAGATAGATATAATGTTACTCTTTCTGGTTTTGTTTTTAACATTGAAATCCTTTTGTCAAAATGTTTAGAATAGCAGTGTTTTTTGCATTTAATGATTGATTAACAGAGTTTTAAGAACTGTGGTCCTGTTATTACATGTTTATTGGTCAACAGGGTTTTAAAAACTGTGGTCTTGTTATAACGAAACCTTTAAAAGGAAAGACTTTGATGTGTAAATGTTGAAAATCTAACTTTCTAATTTGATAAATAAAAATATTCACAAAATGCTTTTTGAATATATTTGACTAGTTTCCAAATTTATTCTGTTAATATTGAATCCAAAATTTTCCAATAAAGGGAGACAAGTATCATTTAATCCTTTTTTTAATTTAAATTGAATTATATTTGATTCATGTTTACCTTATTAATTGAAATCCAATAAGAACATTTACATGTTATCACCAAAACATTATCTTCCTCTAAAAGCAAGAAGTTGATATGCAATAATAACAAGTCTCAGGTATCATAGACATCTATAAACATGTAATTATCACCAGGTGTAAAATGCAACATATTTACGTATGTCTTATCATACTGCATGTGATGACTACATACAAAAAAATATTGTTCAAAATAAACATTGATCTGTTATTGTGGATAATATAGGTATATAGATTGTGTATACAAAGAAAGAATAGACGAGGAGAGAAGGATAATTGATTATTTGGAGATGCTCTATAACCTACTCAACATCAGGTGAACATATTGATGGGAGAATTCTTGCCGTAGGAACTGAAAGTTACAATGATTTATCTAAAGGATTTATGGTACATTAACATAAGTTTTCTGTTTAAAACAAGCAATAGACAAAGACTTTCATGCCTCTGTCATTCATGTACTTAGTTCTACGTTTCTGTGGAATTATGACATACTAGCAATAACAAAGAATGTAGGGTAGTTAGATAAAAAAAGGGAGATTAAAAATGAAATAAAAAAGGGGAGAGAATTCTGCCATTAGTCAGCGTAAATGTATAAGGTTGCATGAATCCATTGTAAAAGGAAACGATAAATACATAAGATATGTGCAGTGTGGATTTAGAAATACAAGTTAAACTTTCACATAATTATTTTCCAGGTGTATGAAAATGAAACAAAACTGAGCGTGGTGTGTTTATATATTTGTTTTCAAATGAGTTGTGATAATTTATATCATGCTTTTGTAAAAAATCTGCTGATACAGATTCTGTTAATGATGCTCTTGTTAATTGTTGAGTGTTTGCAGAAGAGATCTTTTAAAATGCCTGAAGTTTCTGCTATAGGTATCAATGTGATACCTACTGTGATTGTAATGTACACAGGAAATCTGCTGAAACAAAATACGGTCATATTTTTTCATTATGAAAAATACTATTTTAGATTTGACCTTAATAGATATAAATTCAATTTTTTTATAATTTTGTAAAAATAATGCTTGAAATGCATTTTAAATAGCAATTTTGTGAAAATATCTGTTTGTAAAAAGAGAATAGAAAACTAACTATTTAGTTGCGACAATCAGAAGCATGTCTGAAATTTTGCATACAATTTTGAACTACCATAATGATTGTTATGTATCATTGTTTAAGAGTCTCCTTACTTGGCCAAGATAGAATGATCAGAAATATGTTGGTGTAAATAAGATAACTGAAGAAAACATTCATTATATGGTGACTACATGTATAATATAGCTGTAAATAGCTGCATAATTATACGTTAAATGTGTAGAGAGATCATGTAAATCCACCTATCAAAAATAGCTTATTAAAATGTTAAACTGTGACTCCAATTTAACTGTTATTGATCACAATGGTGAGTTACACACAAGATAAAAATTGTGTTGTATTTACATTAGCAGTTTTTCATATTTTATTTTGAAAATGTTGATTTTTGACAGAGTTGAATATATTTTGCGAATCTGTTCCTTTTCTAAGACAATCTAAAGATTAAACCAAGGAAAGAAAGCAATTTTGTCACAAGAAAATCTAGTATCTGATAAGTGCTGTAGTTTTTTTATTGTAAATTATATTGAACATAAAATAAAATGTACATGAAACTTGGCCAATGAACCTAGTTAATATAAAAGATGATATGCTGTGCTAAAAAGTGTATTTAATCTAAGTCACATGCTGGGGAAGAGGTATTTTTTCACACATTCCAATGATAGAACCACAGACTTCGATATCTATGTCTAATTTTGTGATATAAGTCGATCACACTTTTGTTTGATGCATGAATGATGGATTCTTTTGACGAGGTACCTGCATGACGACATGTTCAAAAAGGCTCGTGCTAGAATATGTCTGATAATCTTGTATCGAATCAGATTGGAATCCATGATTGATGATCAATCTTGACGTGTGATTACGATATATTTTTTTACTTTGTCATTAACCAGTGATTAAATGTTTTTATCTTTACATTTTTTGTCTAATAAAGTTTGTTTTTTGTACTGATGTTATTGATTTTTTGTACCTATATTCTAGTTCCAGAGCTTTTTTCACAGAATAAAAAAAATATTAATGTTGATTTTCTGTCTAATGCTTAGGGACTGAGTTTTCTGCCTGTTTATCTTGAACAACATTATATAACATCTGAACACTAGTTTCCTTCTCTCTCTGTATAACTAGTATAGATTACTGGGTGTCACAAAGGTGGATCTACAGAACAAAAATGAACACCCTTTTAAGTTTCAGGAAATCAGAACAACTGCTTTGAGTGACATCAAAGGACCTCTTTCAGAAACAATGGAATTTTGCCCACGACCCGATTTAATTCAAATCATGTGGCATTTATAGCACCCCAAAACACTCCCCTGAAATAACACTTAAAAAATTCAAAAGGCCCATAGGGCCTGAATTATTATAGAATTTGTGACATTTACTGAGGGTATAAGGTAAGGTTTAGAAATGGCTCCATAACAAGGCAAGGGTTCATCACAAGACTTCTTATAACCACTTATTTTGTTCATTGGAATCTATTTGTCATTTTAAGCAAACATTATTTGTCAAATTTGGCATCAGAAAAAAGTTACGATCAATTAAATAAAGAAAAATGTGATTTTTTCTTGATTTTTAGGTCATCTGACCCGAAGGGTCGGATGACCTATAGTCATCATGCTTCGTCCGTCGTCGTCCGCCGTGCGCCGTGCGCCGTCCGTAAACTTTTCATTCAAACGACTTCTTCTCAATAATTGGAAGGCCCAGGCAACTAATATTTGGCCTGTAGCTTGCTTTGATGAAGCCCTACCAAGTTTGTTAAAAAGAATGACCTTGACCTTCATTCAAGGTCACAGGGGTCAAATGTCTTAAAATCTTCAAACGACTTCTTCTCAATAACTGGAGGGCCCAGGCAACTAATATTTAGCCTGTAGCTTGCTTTGATGAAACCCTACCAAGTTTGTTCAAATGAATGACCTTGACCTTCATTCAAGGTCACAGGGGTCAAATGTCTTTAAATCTTCAAAGGACTTCTTCTCAGTAATCAAAAGGCCCAGGCAACTAAAATAAGGCCTGTAGCATGCTGGGATGAATGACTACCAAGTTTGTTCAAATGAATGACCTTGACCCACTTTAAAGGTCACAGGGGTCAAATATGTTAAAATCTTTAAACAACTTCTTCTCAATAACCAAAAGGCTCAGATTGCTGATATTGTGCCTGTGGCATGCTGGGATGAAGGGCTATCAAGTTTGTTTAAATGAATGACCTTGAACAACTTTCAAGGTCACAGGGGTCAAATATGTCAAAATCTTTAAATAACTTCTTCTCAAATACTAGAAGGCCTAGGGGGCTAATACTTGGCCCATAGCATGCTGGCATGGAGCCCTACAAAGTTTGTTCAAATGAATGACCTTGGCCCACTTTCAAGGTCACAGGGGTCAAATATGTTAAAATATACAAAGGACTTCATCTCAATAAGCAAAAGTCTATGAGTGCCGATATTGGGTCTGTAGCATGCTGGGAGGAAAGGCTACCAAGTTTATTCAAATGAATGACCTCAACCCACTTTCAAGGTCACAGGGGTCAAATATGTTAAAATATACAAACGACTTCTTCTCAACAAGCAAAAGTCCATGAGTGCTGATATTGGGCCTGTAAGATGCTTGGAGGAGAGGCTACCAAGTTTGTTCAAATGAATGACCTCAACCCACTTTCTAGGTTTGGCTTGCTTTTTGTCAGATGACCGTTAAGGCCCATAGGCCTCTTGTTAGAACAAAGTTTGATGTTAGGAGGAGTGTTTCAAACTCTTCCAGTTTCGGTACACCCAAGCGCTTTTAATATGATTTGGCTCCTTATATTTGCTGTTCTTAGCCAAAAAATTGAAAAAATTCGTGACCGTTAAGTTTGCCAATTAGCAGCTTAATTGCATGGAGTCAGAATCTCGAAAATGACATCATGTGATTGATATGATGTTGTGATATATTTCTTATCTTTGTTTTTGTTCTTCAAAATATGACAGAGATAAAAAAAAAAGAAGTGTAGAGATGACATTGGAGAAAAACATCTTTGTTGAAATAGATACATATGAATGGAATGAAGACTATTCTTGACATTTTAAATATGATTTTTAACACAACCTGTAGTGGCTTGACTAAAATGAGAGGTAAAATATTAAAGTATTAGATGAAGTTTCAAACCCAGTTCCACAAAAACTGAAGAAATAACGTTTTTCGCGGACAATCTAACCCAACCGGCCATA